TTTTTTTTTTGTGAGTTAGAATTATGCTCTACATCCTTCTCCAGCTCTGTCCAGAACCCTCTGTTGTGATCCTGTGGGGGCTATTTCTTGTAGAGGTAAAAATCCATTCTCTACTGTTTAATCATTCATTGATTTGTCTAATAATCATTAAATGCCAGACAGTGCATTAGGCACTGTTGCAGAGATTACTAAGACACAATTTCTACTGTTAAAAAGATCAGTCTGGTGGGTTATGTACACCAACAGATAACTTACAGATATGCACCAGATGATAATGGAAGCAGAGAAGAGTTATCTAACCAGCAGCTCAAGCATACTTTCTTCCTATGTTTTCTCCTAAGACAAACATTTAGATAAATCAAAATTTTTTACCTTCAAATTTTGTGAATTCATATTCTGCCTAATAGTGAAAAAAGAAACTTCTCATAATGTAACTGTCATTCCCAGTTTAGTGATATTCTTTATGTTGTCTTTTCTTAAAAAGACCAGCTGCTGATTAGAAAGTGAGGAAGCAAAAAAGTAAAGATGATTCCAATAAAAAGAAGATGGGACATGGCAGACATTTACAAAAGAGGTCCACTAAATAGAAAGCTTCCTGGTGGCTTTTTTCTCCTGTATTTTAAACAGAGTTTTTCAAACTCACAAACAGAACTGAAGTCAGTCAGTTGTTATTTCAGGTGATATAATGTCTATACTGAATGCCAAAATAAAATGCATGATTAAAATTATGTTCAAGCATTATTTATTTTTAAAAAGTTATCTTAAACATTTTACTTTTGATATTCTTTTTTTCTGTATTAATACTATAATAAAATATGAGTCATCTAGAGTCTTCAAGCACATATACAACTTGGGTCAAGAGAGTATTTTGGTACACTAAGTTTTCTCATTAAAATATCAAAAACATTTTCATTCATTTCAAAACTTCTTGATATAGTTGAAAGAATACGAGCTCCAAGGCAGGACAGATAGCCGACCAGTTTTTTTAAACCCGTTTTGAGTAGTATCTCCTACCTTATAGGTTGTCAAGAAGGATTAAATTATGTTACATACATAAAGTGCTTAGTAGATTTGATAAATGTATTTTATTCCATTAACTATTCTGGAGAGAATTCTTTCTGTAAGAATAACACTTTCATCTCTGTTACCTAAAAGTGGTACAAAGAGTATAACTTGATCTTTTCTTCATGATTCAGTACCATCAGTACAAAGCCCAGTGAGTATATTATGATGACATTAGCAGAGTGGCCATATGTCCAGGATTGCCTAGGATAATCCCGGTTTATACCTAAACATCCTCTCACACTCTCACAAGTATCCCAGTTTGGATGATAAATTATGTAGTTATCCAAGACATAAAAATTCAATTTTCATTCTAACTTAAGCACTAATTTCTGGTAGTGTAGTATTCTGGTTCTCCTCCCTATTTCTTTATTTGACTTCCTCCTATGTCTTCTTTATTGATTATTTTTCCTTATATCACCTATAAATTTTGATTTTTTTTTTCCTTCCATATCCCCAAAACTTAATGGTTTTTCCTTTGCGCTTCCTTTACATTCACACCTTGGGGAAACTATTCCTTTGCTTTAGATATCATCTCTGTGTGAGTTATTTCCCCAAATTCACCTTCTTAGTGAAAGCTCTTGAGTATTCTCAGTCTCCATGATTTCTCCTTTCTTTAGCTTATTTTCTTTTTGTTCTGTATAGTTTAATATGTAATTATGTCATTCTATATAATGTATGCTTTATTAGTCTTACATGTCTCTATGCATCTCTGTAGGAATGTTTCCTTACTTGATATTTTTTCTTTGAACCCCATAGAATCTTTGTCTCAGATTTGTAATAAATTTTGTTTTCTTAATTTATTTGATGTCAAGAAATTTTTCCAGTTTGATCTACTGACATTGTGTTTTAAACATACTTCTAAGAAAAATTCTCCATTGTTAAACCCATTTTGATAGTCTTGTCCCCTTTTAACTGCAATATTTGTGTTATAATAGCCTGTTTTCCCCGTTTTTTGTGGTTGCCAGTCACAAAAACAAAACTGGAATTTATCTGTCCATGCTATCAGTTTTTTTCTTACCCAGCCACCTTTGTAGTAAATAGTTACTGTTAATACTAAACTTTTTCATTAGCTGTTTATTGCTTGCTGTATCCATTGTTTCGTCTACTTTTATTTTCTCTTTTCAAATTTCTATTCACAGAAACAATCTTTTTTCTTCATAAAGAAAATATCTTCTTATTGAAAAGTCATTGTTAAGGCTCCTCTTCCCAAAATTAGTTTGACAAAAGTCATTAATCATTTCAAAATTATTATTTCAACACAGAAAAACAGTAGCTATCCTGTTTTTACTTGGGATATTGGTAAGTAATAAGAATAAGCCGAATATTTTATTTTTACTATTTGTTGTTGTTGCCATCGAGTTGATTTGATTCTGGCACTTATTTTTTTTGGCTTAGGAGTAAATGATAGTCAATATGAAAAGTTTGCATTTAACTGACGGAAAGTTAGAGATCTTATTGAGAACATGTGACTTTTTAAAAATAGAAATGAAATGAAGCCTACAGGATAAATTTAAGGCATTCCTATAGTTGAGAGAGTTTTTTTCTTCTTTTTTAATGTTATTTTTAATCTGTTGTGGCTTTCTGAAAACCCTCTGGTTCAGTAGATTGTGAATTGTTTTCGTGGTCTTCTTTATTTTAGGAAAAAAGAAGAGTAGAACCCATGTTCCTATTAAAGAAAATCAGAAAAAAGTTAAGGAAGAATTCAAAAACAAGTATTTTTCAAATGGGCCAAAGAAGAAGAATCTTGTACCTAAAGAAGCGACTTTGACTATCACAAAAAGTCAAAGAATTTCCAGGCGGCCATCTAATTGGTGGGAGGTAACATCAGAGCATAGTAAGTATTTTTGTTTAAATTATATTCATTGGGAGCTCCAAAGAAATTATTCTGTAAGGGAGTATTTTTATGTTTGATTTATACGGTTACTTTCCAGAGAAAATCTTGTAAAGACAAAGTTAAATTGGGTCATCAATGGAAATATTAAATCAGTTAATTAAAAAGATACTCATTGAGGCTCTACCATATACATATTCTAGGTGTGGGGATACATCTATGGAAAAACAAAGCCTCTGCTGTTGTGAAACTTAATTTTAGTGAGAGATGACAAAAATGTAGATATATAATGCCATGCTGTGATAGATAATAAAGAAAATAAAGCAGGTAAAGGCATAGAGAAGTGAAGGAGGTGATAGAGGTGAGAGTGAATAGGATAGAGCGGGATACTGTTTTTATAAAACACAGTCACAAAATGACACTATGATCTTTCAGAACACATATATTAATAAAGTAAGGAAGGGAGGCTTACAAATAATTTGGAGTGGAGCATTCTAGGCTAAGGGAGCAGTATCTGTAAAGGTCATGATGGAACATGTTTGGCATGTTGAGGAACATTAAGAAGGCCAGTGTGACTGGAAAGGTCCTGGAAGGTTTTAAGCAATAAAATGACATGATTAATGCATTTTTGTGCATTGGGAAGCTACTGGAAGGTTTTAAGCAATAAAGTGACATAATTGACTCATCTTTTGAAAGAATCTTACTGGTATATGAGGAGAAAACTGGAGCTGGGCAGACTAGCTAGAGGCCATTGGAGGGAAAAGATGTCAGTGGCTTGGACCAAGTTAATATTGAGAGCAGTGAGAAGTGATTGGATTCAGGATATATTTTGAAGATATTCCACAGGAAGTACTGATGGATTGGGGTAAAAGAAAGGTAGGAATCTAGGATGATGCAAAGTTTTTTTGTCTGATCAAGTTAGAAGAATGGAGCATTTACTTAAAGAAAGCTATGGGAGAAGCAGATTTGGGAAAGACATCAAGATTTCAGGTTTTGATAGGTTAATTTTGAGGTGTCTGTTAGATATCAAAGTGGATATGTTGAGATTGTGTGATAAATGGTCTAAGGTAAGGAGAGAGAGCTTAGAGGAGATATAATTAGGGAGTTATCAATATGTAGATGATATTTAAAGCTTTGGGACTACTTGAAGTCATCTAATAATAGACTGTAGCTGGAAAAGAAAAAAGCCAAGGATTGAGTCCTGGGGGACTTCATTGTTAGAAGTTGGGAAGGAGGAGGGGGAGGACACTTCAAAAGAGACTGAGAAGGAGCAGTCAGTGAAGCTGAAGGAAAATGAGAATTTAAGGTAATAGAAGTGAAGTAATGAAAGTATTTTAAGGATAGAGTGATGAACTGTGTTCAGTACTTCTGGTAGCCTGAGTTAGATGGGAGCTAAGAATTGATAACATGGTTTTGACAACATGGAGGTGGTTGCTCACCTTTATAAAAATTGTTTCAGTGGAATGGTGTAGTCATCAGCCTGATTAGAATGGGTTCAAGAGACAGTGTGAGAAGTGAGGAATGAGAAACAATAAGAGATAGTAGATGTGGAGGTCATATTAAAAAAAAAATTAAAAAAATATATGTACTAGATATTACAGCATGCTTATCTGATCATTAAAATGATCTTGTAGAAAGGTATGAGGGTAAAAGGAGCATCACAGTCCCTGAGGGGGGTGTGATCTAGTGCAAGAATTAGTCCCAGAGCAAGGACAGTAAAAGGAGGAAAGACAGTATATGGGGACAGATGAAAGTAAGTTGTTAGATTTGATGGTGAAAAGATGAAGACTTACTTTTCTGACTGCTTCCTGTTTTTTTCAGTGAAATAATAAGCAAGGTCATCATTTTCAGTGAATAATAAGCAAGGTCACATGGAAGTGAAGTGGGAAAGGAGATATCGGAAGCTTGAAGAGGAAGGAAGGGTCTGAAATAGTGGACTGAGAGAGTGAATTGACTAGAAAATGTGATATTGTTTGAGTCCTGAGGGTGCCCTTGAAGCTTTTGGTTACAAATTTAAAGTGAGACCAGTCTCTATATTTGGGTGTTTTTATGCAGATATTTCCAATCAGTGTGTAGGTGCAGAGTAGGCAAGAGTTGGATTTAAACAAGGACGGGGGATCGTGCCAGGCAATTTTGATAGAGAGAAAGAGGAGCAGGGAGGTGAAGGTACGCATTGGAGTGATTATAATGATTATCATGGAATCTAAGCTGGTAAGGAAGAACTAGAGGAGGAGTTTGTATTGAAAAGTCGATGCAGTCAGTGGATTGGCAGTCAGTCCCAGGGGGTCACAGAGTGTAGAATCCTTGGGTAAGTAAACTGGGGATCAGATAGTGGAATGCTAAAAACTGAATTTGGAAGTAGTGCAGTAATTGATCTCAGGCACAACTAGGGGAAGGAGAAGTGGTGGTGGGATAGAGGACAAGGATATTAGAAGTTTGAATATTCAAATTATTAAAAATGGGGGCAGGTTAGTGCTGGAAACAAGTATTAACATCTTCAGTGAATGAGGATACGTGACCAGTATAATGTAGTACAGCTGGAGAGCTTTAAAAAATACCTACATCTGGTGCAGAAGCTGGCAAGCCCAAGATCGGAAGGTCAGAGAACAGGGCTCCCACTCACAGGCTGTGCAGATCGACGAATCCCAGGTTCGGCAGATAAGCTGACAGCTCAAGTCCCAAGAACGGGAGATGAGACAACAGGAAGCAGCCACAGGATCCAGAGAGAGCAAAAAGCCAGAACATCTACTTATATACAGATGCAGGCCACACCCCCAAGGAGACTCCCCCTCATCTGATTGGCTACTCACAGTGTTTTCAATCATGGGAGTGATTACATTAAAACAGAGAATCACGGCCCAGCCAAGCTGACACACAGTCTTAACCATCACATCTGGGTACCACACACAGAAATTCTGATATAAGTGGTCTTGGGTGGAGCCCAGGCATTGGTGTTTTGTTTTTGGTTTTTTGCTTTTAAAAAATTTAAATCTTCCCAAATAATTTTATGTAGCCCGGTTTGAGAACCGCTGTTGGTAGTGGAAGGCTTCGGAGGGGTTAGGAAGCGTTGGAGATAGAGTCAAATTAGGAGATCTTTAAGTTCTGTGAAGATGAATCTGGTGTGAGAAACATTCTGAGAAGCTTGGATTTCTTGTGGGAAGTGAGGTAAGCCATATGGAAGCCATAATGGGATTTTACCTAATGGTCTCTGCTGGTGAGATGGATTATGAGTTCTGGTTATAGCTTCCTTCTTAGTATGAGTCTCTTGGGAAATTTGTAGTGGTGAAGTGAACTGAAGGGGGCAAAACAGTAGTGGTGTTCTCATCAGGGGCAGAGAGAACTGTGTGGACCTTTAAGTTTTGCTGTGGATGGTGTTGAGGCAATTTTACTAAGAACACCTGTAGTGCTATGCACTTTGCTTACATTCTGGAATTTTTTTTACCTCTTTTATGGAAAGAGGAGTCCTGGTGGCACAGTGGTTAAGAGCTCGGCTGTTAACCAAAAGATTGGCAGTTCGAACCCACCAGCCACTCCTTGGAAACTATAGGGCAGTTCTACTCTGTCCCGTAGGGTCACTATGAGTCGGAATCTACTAACAGCAGTGGGTATATGGAAAGCAGTAGATGTGGTCAGGGGAGTATTAATTCTGCTTTATGAACATCTTGGCTGTGAGGGATACAGAGATTCATAAGATGGGGTTCTTGTCACCAGGGAGTGTATATAATCTAGTTAATTATATTAGTTTATTACATACAAAAAAGGTAAATATGTGTCATGATCCCCAGGACCACACCCACTTTTGATGATTTGCTAAGAGGACTCTCAAGGACTCAGCATATTGTTGTACTCACATTTATGATTCATTACAGCAAAAGGATAAAAAGCAAAATCAGCAAAGAGAAAAGTGCATGGAGTGAAGTCTGGAGGAAACCAGGCTCAAACTTCCAAGAGTCCTCTCCCAGTAGATTCACACAGGAGGCGTTTAATTCCACTTGTAGAAATATTGTCTACCTGGGAAGCTCATTAGTCTCAGTGCCCAAGGTTTTTATTGGGAGTGAGCATCTTTTGCTAACAAGTGCTGAAATTCTAGACTCCCAGAAGGAAAGCAAGTGTTCAGCATAAACCATATTGTTTGAGGCACACTAACCCACCCTTATAAGTTGGAAATGATGGGAACCCTGCTGAAATTCAAACACCCAAACACCAGCCAAGGACTAACTTTGTAAGCAGACCTTTCTAAGGATAAGAGTGTCTGTTAACTGTTTTCTGCACAATATGAAATATTTACTGTTTTGGAAATCGTTGGTTTTTTTTTTTTTTTAAGAAAGTAATGATAAAAAGTTGATTCTTAGATGATAAGGTAACATTTACATATGTAAATACTGTCAGCTGTGGAACATTTAGAGCAACATAGGTGAGAGACTCATATAAATATGTCAGTATATCTCTAAGGCGTTATTGCTGTGAATTATTGAATCATTCAGATCCATTTGATATGTCAGTATATTTATAAGGCTTTATTGCTATGAATTATTGAATTACTGAGATTCAATTGATAGCAGCAAGAATTTTTTTTTTTTTTTTTCTGCAGCCCTTGGATTTGAGTTTGAATTATGACTTCTCCACTTTGGGCAGATTACTTTGCTCAGTTTCCCACTCTATGACGTGGTTACCAATACCTCTACCTCACTGACTTGCTAAAAGTTTTTAAATGAGATTGACTTAGAAGGTGGCAGATAGTATTGAAATGTTAACTACTACTATTTCTGCTATGGAGAACTCACTTTCTGCCTCAGGCTTCCTAAAACTCTGTACTGTGGTAGATGAGTGTGCAAATATATGGGTAAATAAAAGGCAGAGTTTGGATAAGCGTGTTAGAGCTCTGGCACTTATCAGAGAGACTTAAGTAATAGTCCTGAAATAGATTTTGGGTTTTTGATCAAGCTGGGAGTCCCAGAAGTGAAGGGACACTTATAGATTGTATGGTCCAAATTCCTTCATTTAATGGAAGAAGAAACTGAAGTGTGAAATCTGGAAAAGTGATATGACTTGTCTCCAAGATCATAGAACTTTGTAGTAGAGCTGGAAAACAGTAGAACTCAGGTTTTCTGATTCTTGATCTATCACTTAATTCACTAACCAAGCTGCCGGTAATGTACATGTGGCACTACTGCTGTTTCGCATATACCAAGAAACAGTGAGCACCCGCTATGAGACAGGAATGGTGTTAGGCAGGGCCAAGACTAGGCTGAGGCAAGTGAGTCACCTAGAGTGGTAAATTTAACCACACACTCACTCCCAGGGTTATATGTGTTCAGGCTCAGTATTTGGACCACTCTGAGAATGAGTGTCTCCTTAAATTTTCCACGCTCAGTGCCTATGTTTGCTCACTCCAGTTGTGCCTCTGGTGTTAGGCATTGGGGATGTAAAGGTGAATAAAACACCAATCTTGGTCTCAAGGAGTTTTCACTCTGCTGGGGGAGAGAGATAAGCAAAGTCAAATGTATGATAAATTTTATCAAAAACTTGAGAGAGAGCTGCCTAACTTAGACTTGAGATTTCAGGAATACTTCCTGAAGAATGAGTTAGGAGTTAGCAAAGTGACCAGGTGAGGTGAGGAGGAAGGACAGAATGTTTCAAGCAGAAATAGCATCTGCAGAGATCTGCAGCTGAGAACTTGATTTTTTTTTTTTTTAAAGCATGCCTCCAAATTACCTGGAGGGCTTCTTAAAACACAAATTACTGAGCCCTACTCCCATAGTTTCTGAATCAGTAGGTCTAAAGTGAGGCCTAAGAATTTGCATTTCTAACAAATTCCCAGCTGCTGCTGATGTTACTAGTCCACTGACCACACTTTGAGAACCACTGCTTAGAGAAACTGCAAATAGTTCAGTACTGCAGGCTCTTTGCGTTTTGTTTGTTTGGAGTAGGGTTGTTGGTTGGGGCTAGTGAAATAAGCAAACTTTATATGTAGAAGGAAATTGATGTTGAAAGGATTTAGGCTTAATTCTGAACCTATGGATAATAACTGAAAAATATTAAGTAGGGTTGTAATGATCCAATATGTGTTTTTCAAAGATACTTCTTGAAGCAGTGTGAAGAAAAGATTGAAGAAATCCAAGGTAGAGAAAGGGAGATTAGTGAAGATGCTGTTTTAGTAATCCAGATAAGAAATGATGAGGGCCTCTGCTTATGACAGGTGAGCTTGAGAGAAGCAGATTTGAGAGACATTAAGGAAGTACATCTGACACGATTTAGAGGTTGGTTGTAGGTAGATCAGGAGTGTTCAGTGATTTTTGTTTTAGGCATCTGGGTAGATGGTTGTACTTTTCATTAAGAGAGTTGAGTTTGGGTCAGAGTGGTAAGTGGATATTAAAGATATCAGCATATTGTTGTTAGTTGCCTGCCATTGAGTTGGCTCCAACTTGTAGTGACCTTGTGTATAACAGAATGAAACGTTACCCGATCCCGTGCCATCTTCATGATCATTGGTATGTTTGAGTCCATTGTTTTGGCCACCATGTCAGTCCATCTCACTGAGGACGTCCCTTGCCTTCGCTGACCCTTGACTTTACCAACGAAGGTGGCCTTTTCTAGTGATTGGTCTTTCCTGATGCCATGTCTAAAGTAAATGAACCCAAGTATAGATAGTGATTAAAGCCAAGGGGTAGATAAACCAGTTGCAGATGAGTCATTCTGATTTATAGCGACCCTATAGGACAGAGTAGATATGCCCCTTAGGGTTTCCAAGGAGCAGCTGGTAGATTCGGACTGCCAACCTTTCAGATAACAGCTGAGCTCTTAACCACTGCACCACCAGGGCTCCATGGGGTAGATAGGCCCCTCAAAGAAAGTATGTAGAGTGAGAAGCTGAACTGAAACTTTGGGGAACACCAGGATCTTAAGGATAGCCAGAGTCATGGGGAAAGCCAGAGAGGGTGGTTTTGGAAGCTATATGATAAATTTGAAGAGTCTGGTGTCTGTATCTAAAAACTGAAGTACTGTATAGTTTAAGAATTTAATTTGAATACAAATTTAGCCTATGAGATTAGTGTATATGTATGTATTTATGTATAAATATAGGTAATATTGATATTCCAGTGAACCAGATAATGTGGACAGATGGTATAATAATTTAGGTTATCATTCAATCCTCCAGGTCCTGTTGGTAGCAGTTCATCTTTAATAAAAAATGAATTACCATTGCATCACAAGAGCAGACAAAAACTTGCTGAAAAAAATCAGTCATCTAAGAATACTAGGAGAGAAACTACTGCATTTAAAAGGCGAAAGACAGCTACTCAAGGCAGCTCAAGAGCACAGACTTTTTTAAATGCTAAAGATTCTGGAGGTATTATTGACCATGATGAAATTTCCAGTTCCCAGAATGAGTCATTGGAAAGTGATGAGGCAAACCTGGCTAAGAAGAAACATCTTGATTGTTCTGGGTAATATCTGTTATGTGTACAATATTGTTATCTTTGTTATAATGTATAATAGTTTGTCTATGTTATTTAATCATTTATAGAGAGGCAGTATTAGCATAAAGCCCCCTGCTTTGTGACAAACTTAGTAATCTAGGCTCTGATATTGACCCCTGAGTCAAGTAGTACTCTGAACTTGTTTCCTCATATATTAAAATGGGAAATAAAATATAGCATATGACATTATGAGTGTTAAATTTAATAAGGTAAGACTGTCTCCTGAGAGTTGCTTTCTTTTAAGAAAGGTTAATTTGATTTCAATAGTTAGGAATATGTCTCAATACTTTTCTTCCCTAAGATGATAATAGTTAACATTTTTGAGTGCTTACTATGTTCCAAGTATTTGCTAGATGCTTTCTGTGAGTTCTTATCAGTCTTAACAACCTAAGTATTAATTTTATGCATTCTTGCTTTTGTTAAGTATTTAACAAATACTTAATACATACTGTATATTAGAAACTACAAGGTGCTGGGGATATACTGAAATAAATGAGTGCCCCAAAATTTATTGTTGTTGTTGTTGTCAGGTGCCGTCGAGTTGATTCCAACTCATAACGACCCTGTATACAACAGAACAAAACACTACCCAGTCCTGTGCCATTCTCACAGTCATTATGCTTGAGCCCACTGTTGCAGCCACTATGTCAGTCTGTCTCTTTGAGGGTCTTCTTTTTCACTGACCCTCCATTTTACCATGCATGATGTCCTTTTCCAGGGACTGATCCCTCCTGATAACATGTCCAAAGTATGTTATCCTGGCTTCTAAGGAGCATTCTGATTATACTTCTTCCAAGACGTATTTGTTTGTTCTTTTGGCAGTTCATGATTGTCTTAGTCATCTAGTGTTGCTGTAACAGAAATACCGCAAGTGGATGGGTTTAACAAACAGAAGTTTATTTTCTCACAGTCTAGTAGGCTGGAAGTCCAAATTTAGGGAGTCAGCTCCAGAGAAGGCTTTCTGTCTCTGTCAGCTCTGGAGGAAGGCCCTTCTCATCAATATTCCCCTGGACTAGGAGCTTCTCCGCGCAGGAACCCTGGGTCCAAAGGATGCACCCAGCTCCCGGTGCTGCTTTGTTGGTAGTATGAGGTCCCCTGTCTCTCTGCTCGCTTCTCCCTTTTATATCTCAAAAGAGATTGGCTTAAGACACTATCTAATCTTGTAGATCTCATCAGTATCACTGCTGCTAATCCGTCTCATTAACATCATAGTGATAGGATTTACAACACATGGAAATCACATCAGATGACAAAATGGTAGACAATCATACAATACTGGGAATCATGATCTAGCTAAGTTAACAGATATTTTGGGGGGACACAGTTCAACCCATGACAATGGCATATTCAGTATTCTTCGCCAGCACCATAATTCAAAGGTGTCAATTCTTCTTTGATTGTCCTTATTCATTGTTAAGCTTTTGCATGCATATGAAACGATTGAAAACACCATGGCTTGGGTGAGGTGCACCTTAGTCTTCAAGGTGACATCTTTGCTTTTAAACACTTTAAAGAGGTCTTTTGCAGCAGATTTGCCCAATGCAATGTGTCCTCTGATTTCTTGACTTCCTGCTTCCATGGGTGTTGATTGTGGATCCAAGTAAAATGAAATCCTTTACAACTTCAGTCTTTTCTCCGTTTATTGTGGTGTTGCATATTGGTCCATTTGTGAGGATTTTTGTTTTCTTTATGTTGAAGTGTAATCCATACTGAAGGCTGTAGTCTTTGATCTTCATCAGTAAGTGCTTCAAGTCTTTTTCACTTTCAACAAGCAAGGTTGTGTCATCTGCATAATGCAGATGCCATGTTATTCTTTGTATAGTCCAGCTTCTCAGATTTATTTGCTCAGCATATAGATTGAATAAGTATGGTTAAAGGATACAGCCCTGACACACACCTTTCCTGACTTTAAACCACACAGTATCCACTTGTTTGTTTGAATGAGTGCTGCTTGATTCATGTACAGGTTCCACATGAGCACAATTAAGTGTTCTGGAATTCTAATTCTTTGCAGTGTTATCCATAATTTGTTATGATCCACACAGTCAAATGCCTTTTTGTGGTGGATAAAACACAGGTAAATATCTTTTTGGTATTCTCTGCTTTTAACCAAGATTCATCTGACATCAGCAATGGTATTCCCTGTTCCACATCCTCTTCTGAATTAAACTTCTGTCAGTTCCCTGTTGATATATGGCTGCAGCCATTTTTGAATTATCTTCAGCAAAATTTTACTTGCATGTGATCTTAATGATATTGTTCAGTAATTTCTGCAGCCCTCTGGATCAGCTTTCTTTGGAATGGGCATGAATATGGGTCTCTTCCAGTTGGTTGGCCAGGTAGCTATCTTCCAAATTTCTTGGCATAAACAAGTGCTTCCATTTTGTTGAAGCATCTGAATTGATATTGTGTGAATTCCTGGTGCCTTGTTTTTCACCAGTACCTTCAGGGCAGCTTGCACTTCTTCCTTCAGTACCATCAGTTTTTGATCATATACTGTCTCCTGAAGTGGTTGACTGTGTTTCTTCCATCTTCTTTTGATGCTTCCTACATCATTCAGTATTTTCCCCGTAGAATCCTTCAGTATTGCAACTCAAGGCTTGAATTTTTTCTTCAGTTCTTTCAGCTTGAGAAATGCTGCGTGTGTTCTTCACTTTTGGTTTTTCTAACTCTTAGACTTTGCATATTTCATTATAATGCTTTGCTTTGTCTTCTCGAGCCACCTTTTGGAATCTTCTGTTCACCTTTTACCTCATCATTTATTGTGTTTGCTTTAGCTCTTCTGTGTTCAAGAGCAAGTTGCAGAGTCTCTTCTGACATCTGTTTTGGTCTTTTCTTTCTTCCCTGTCTTTTTAATGACCTTTTGTTTTCTTTACATATGATGTCCTCCCAAACTGGTTTGGTCTTCAGTCATTAGTGTTCAGTGTGTCAAATTTATTCCTGAGATGGCCTCTAAATTTAGGTAGGATATACTCAGTGTCAGACTTTGGCTCTTGTGGACTTTTTTAAATTTTCTTCAGCTTCAGCTGGAACTTGCATGTGAGCAGTCAATGGTCTGTTCTGCATTTGGCCTCTGGCCGATGAGGATGTTGAGCTTCTCCATCGGCTCTTTCCATAGATATAGTCGATTTGATTCCTGTGTATTCCGTCTGGCAGAGGTCCAAATATGTAGTCGCTGTTCATGTTGTTAAAAAAAGGTATTTCTGATGAATAAGTTGTGTGATCTCCAATGTCGTTTCTTTCACTAGGTCCATATTTTCCAACTACAGATCCTTCTTTGTTTCCAGCTTTCGTATTCCAATCACCAGTAATTATCAGTGCATCCTGATTGCATGTTCGAGCAATTTCAGACTGTAGAAGTTGGTAAAAAAAATCTTCAGTTTCTTCATCTTTGGCCTTAGTGGTTGGTTTGTAAATTTGAATAATAGTTGTATTAACTGGTCATCCTTGTAGGCATGTGGTTATTATCCTATCACCAACAGTGTTGTACTTTAGCGTAGATCTTGAAGTATTCTTTTTGATGATGAATGTGATGCCATTCCTCTTCACTATGTCATTCCCAGCGTAGTAACCATATGATTGTCAAAATCAAAATGGCAGCATCAGTCCCTTTTAGATCACTGATGCCTAGGATATTGATCTTCAAGCATTCCATGTCAGTTTTGATGACTTCCAGTTTTTCTTGAATCATACTTCATACATTCCACATTCTGGTTATTAATGAATGTTTGCAGCTGTTTCTTCTCATTTTGAGTCATGCCACATCAGCAAAAGAAGGCCCTAGAAGCTTTACTCTATCGACATCATTAACATTAAGGTCTACTCTACTTTGAGGAGGCAGTTTTTCCCAGTTATATTTTGTGTGCCTTTTAACCTGAGGGACTCATCTTTCAGCACTATATCAGACAGTTATCTGCTGCTATCCATAAGGTTTTCACTGATCAATTTTTTGCGGGGGGGAGTAGATCTCCAGGTCCTTCTTCCTAGTCTGTCTTAGATTGGAAGCTCCACTGAAACCTGTCCACTATGGGTGACTCTGCTGGTATTTGAAATACCAGTGGCATTGCTTCCAGCATCAATCACAGCAACACGCAAGCCACTGCAGTACGACAAACTGACAGCCAAGTGGTGGTTTTTGCCCATAGAATCCTTCAGTATTGCAACTCAGTATTCTCAGGCTGAAGGAACTGAAGAGAAAATTCAAGCTTCAAGTTGTAATATTAGAGGGTTCTTTTTACCCATAGCATCCTTCAGTATTGCAACTTGAGGCTTGAATTTTCTCTGTAGTTCTTTCAGCTTGAGAAATGCCGATCATGTTCTTCCCTTTTGGTTTTATTACTCCAGGTTTTTTTTTTTTTTTTGGCACATTTTATAATACTTTGTCTTCTAGAGCCACGCTTTGAAATCTTCTGTTCAGCTCATCATTTCTTCTGTTTGCTTTAGTGCTCTACACTACAGTCTCTTCTGTCTTTTCTTTCTTTCCTTTTTTTTTTTTAATGAACTTTTGCTTTCTTAGTGTATAAAACAACCAGAAAACCAAACCCATTGCCATCGAGTTGATTCCGACTCATAGCAACCCGATAGGACAGAATAGAACTGCCCATAGGATTTCCAAAGAGCGCCTGGTGGATTCAAGCTGCCAGCGTTTTGGTTAGCAGTCGTAGCTCTTAACCACTATGCCACCAGGGTTTCCTCTTAATGTATAATGTTCTTGATTTCATCCCACAATTCTCTTGCCCTGGGTCATTAGTACTAAGAGCACCAAATCTGTTCTTGAAATAGTCTCTAAATTTAGGCCAGATGTATTCAGGGTCATACTTTGGTTCTCGTGGATTTGCTTTGATTTTCATCAGCTTTTAGTTGAACTTCCATATGAGCAATTCATGGTCTTTTTCACAGTTGACCTCTGACTCTGTCTTGGCTGGTGATACTGAGCTTCTCTGTCATCTCTTTCCACAGATGTAGTTGATTTGATTCCCGTGTAAACTGTCTGGCGAGGTCCACATGTATAGTTAGTTGTCGAAACAATTTCTGATGAATAATTCATTGGTCTTGCAGAATTCTTTCATGTGATCTCTGGCAGCATTCGTATCACCAAGGCTGTATTTTTCAACTACTGGTCCATCTTTTTTGTTTCTAACTTTCACATTCCAATCACCATTAATTATCAGTGCATCTTGATTGCCCATTTTATCAATTTCAGACTATGGAAGTTTTTAATTCCTTCATCTTTGGCAGTTGTGGTTGGTGCATAAATTTGACTAATAATTAACTAGTCTTCTTTGTGGGCATATGGATGTTATTTACCTATCACTGACAGTACTGTACTTCAGGATAGATCTCAAAGTGTTCCTTTTGAGGATGAATGTGACTCTGTTCCTCTTCAATTAATCATTCCCAACATAGTAGACCGTATGATTGCTGGATTCAAAATGGCCAATACCAGTGTGTTGCAGCTCACTAATGCCTAGGGTATTGATCTTCAAGCATTCCTTTTCATTTTTGCCAACTTCCAGTTTTCCTTGATTTGTACGTCATACATTCCGTGTTCTGATCATTAATGGATGTTTATAGCTATTGCTTCTCATTTTGGTTTGTGACACATCAGCCAGAGAAGGTTCAGAAGGCTTTATTCTATCTATGTCATTAGGGTCGACTCTGAGGAGGCAGCTCTTCCTAGTTGTATTTTGAGTGCCTTCAAACCTGAGGGACTCATCTTCCAACACTGTATTGAACACTGTTCTGTTGTTATCCATAAAGTTTTCATTGCCTTGCTTTCAGAAGCAGATTGGTAGGGCATTTTCCTAGTCTGTCTTAGTGTGGAAGCGCCAGTGAAACCTGCCCACTGTGGGTGACCGCTACTGGTGTATGAGGTACAAGGAGGCATAGCTTCCTGTATCATAGCAACATGCAGGCCACCACAGTGCAGCAAACTGACAGATGGATGGTGGATTTATTGTCTCCCAACTGTATATTGTTTCTGAAAGAAATGTCTTATGTAGGGGTGTAAATAATTATAAACTTTATTTTCGTAGAGCTACAGGAAGCTCACAGAATCAACACAGTTCAGATAGTATTTCAACTGAGCAAAATGTTCGTCTGAAGTCTCAGACCAGTGGATATACATGGAAGAAAGGATCAGATTCTAAAAAGCTGGGGACTTCAGTTTTAGAAGGAAGGTATGTATTTGTTCTAAGGATAAAATGTTTTTACTTAATAAATTAGTTGCCTATTGCTACATAAGAAATTACTCCGCAATTTAGTTTTAATATTATTAGTGTCTTGTAATTATTTTTTTGTTCAACAGTTCTTGTGATATAGGAATCTAGGAGAGGCTTAGCTGCCTATTTCTGGCTTGGGAACTTTCATGAGGTTGCAGTCAAGATGTTCATTTGACTTGGGGTCCTCTGAAGGCTTAACTGGAAGATCCTCTTATGAGTCACTCACATGACTAGTTAGAGGCCCAGTTTCTTGCTGGTTATTGTCAGGATACCTCAGTTCTTTACCAAGAACTGTTAATATGCAGTTCTAACTACTCACTGTGGTACCTTACTTCCCACAGAGCAAGTGATCTGAGAGAGTATGACCACAATGGAAGCCACAGTGTTTTTTAATGACCTAGTCTCTGAAGTTGTACATCATCACTTCTACTTTATTCATTAGAAACAAGTCACTAAGCCTAGACCACATTCAAGGCTTCACCTCTTGAAGGGACGAGTATTAAAGAATTTGTGGATATATTTTGAAACAGATACACTCATTGGGTGACTACCAGTTTCGTGAACAAACAAAATTAACTTATCTAATTTCTGAGACAGAGTCCTGGTGGCGCAGTGGTTAAGAGCTCGGCTGCTAACCAAAGGGTTGGTAGTTCAAATCCACCAGCTGCTCCTTGGAAACCCTATGGAGAAGTTTTACTCTGTCTTATGAGTTGGAATTGACTCAATGGCAATGGATATGGTACGGGTATAATATCTGAGGTCATATATCCTTTTTAAAAATGAGTTAATGATAAGTTACAGGAAATTCTCAGACTTAAAGAATGGCAGAGATTACTGTTGGGGGCAGGGGGTTATGACAAGTCCTATTGAGTTCATAGTAGGAGGAAAAGGGTATAAGAGTAGGATAAGCTGAATCACCTATAGCAATTTCTGGACTACATTTTAAATTCTTTTTGTTTTGGGCTATAGTTTTTAAAAATTAAGAAGCAGTTCTTTTCTAATTTTAATTATATTTGATATGTTTTTGTATTTTTTATTGTGAAATGAAATGTATAACACATTTGCCATTTTAGCATTTTTCACATGTACAATTCCACGAGATCAGTTACATCAATCATGTTGTGCAACCATCACCAAATTTTCCATCCCTATCGATAAAAACTCAATGCTACCTAAATAGTGACTGCCCCGTTTTCCATTCCCCTCACCCCTGGCAACCACTATTAAGTTCTAATCTCTATATATTTATTTATTCTTATTGTTTTTAGTTGCCTTGAAGTTGATTCCAACTCATGGTGACTCCATGTGTGCAGAGTAGAATTGCTCCTTAGAGCTGGCTGTGGGAGCAGATTTCACTGCAGGGGTCCTTCCGTAGCAATTCGAGGCCAACTGGCAGCCAACAGTTACTGGGTGGCAGAGGGATTGTCAGTCTCCAAATGGACGTTCTAGGAGGTCTGCCTTTTGGAGTCCTGTCCCTTTGCACAGGCAGGTTGTGTGGTGAGCAGGGAAGCAGGCTCCTTTGCTGATGTCACTTCACTGGTTCACACCAGCTTGTTGGGGTAGGGGCAAGGATGTTGGAAGAAGCTATTTTTATACTGTGTGTGACTCATCGTTGACTCATTGATTGTTGCCCGTCTGCAGTTACCCGCTGCTGCCCTCTGCTCCCTGATTCAGAGTCCCTCAAGGCTGAACATCCTTTTCTTGTATTTTCTTCATGTATTTTGGAGGAGGGTCTAAACGATGGTCTCTTTATGCTGTCATCTTCCCAGAATCCCCTGTTATTATTTGAGTTGACTAAATTCATAGCCCCTGATCCATGAGTTAGTTTAAAAATGTTATAAAGTTCAGCATTTATCATATTTGGCAGTCAGTGTAGATTGTAGAGTCTTTGTTTTATGAACAAGCATTATATTCTTGGCAACTTACAATATCACTATTGGTTTTGTAAGAAAGAAACTTGGCAGTTTTTGGAGAAAAATGTCCATTAAGATAGATACATTATAAATATTATAAAAGCACACATTTTTGAGGTTTATTTATTTTTTATTTTAAGTGGGCCTTCTAAGCTCCAGAAATATATGATGTCTGGAAAGAATAATTCTGATATGGGTAGAAAGGAAGCTCAGGAAAGTTCAGGTAAGTTATTGTTTGTTTTCTGCTGTCTGCATTTTTATCACATTGTGCATGTAGGATAAGGTATGCTATGTTGTTTTTAAATTGTCACTGATGGCAAGTGTGTATTGAGTATCTACTCTTAAGAACTTTACCATATAGGCAGAAATTTGGAAGACCACCGTGCATAGGAAGGTCCCTGAGTAGTGCAAGTGGTTTGTGATTGGCTACTAACCTAAAGCTTAATGGTTCGAACCCACCCAGCAGCTCTGCAATAGAAAAATCTGGCGATCTGCTTCCATGAAGATTACAGTCAAGAAAACCCTATGGAGCAGTTTTACTCTGTAACACATGGGGTGGCTATAAGTCAGAATCAGCTTGATGGCAACAGGTTTGGTTTTTTTAATTTTGGTGCCCAGGTGCATGTGCAAGAGAGAGGGAGGTGGAGCACATAGCATACAGGAGGAGGAGAAAGGGAAGAGGGGAAGGAAGGAGAGAGAAGTGACAGTGCTTTTTTTAAGCAGGGCATAATAAAACATTGGCACTTACGGTATCTACTCATGTATTTTAAAGTGTTAAACTGCTGCGGGTATAAATGAAGCAAGATTGACTATATATTGATGATTACTGAAGCCAGGTATATTGGATTCATTATATTATTTTCACTATTTTGAGTATGTTTGAAACTTTCTATAATAAAGTTTTTTAAATGCCTCTTAATAGCTTTATAAATTTTTTTTATGCATGCTGAAACTTATAAAGTTTTCTTGATATTTCATTTAATTATTTTTCTCCCCTTTCTTTAGATTTATTTCATTTAATTTTTTTAAGTTGAATGTTTGCTTTATTTTCTTGCATTTTATCTGGTAAAGAAAAAGCAGTGAATTTTTCTGAGTATAGTTTTGGCTTCATTTTATAGATTTTGTTATGTAGTGTTCTTATTGTAGTATACTCTAAATGATAGTGATGATTTTCCTTTGATCCAGGAATTACTTAAGAGAGTGCCTTACCCAGAACAACTAGATGGTGTCCAGTTACCACCACTGCTCTGGCAGGCATCACAATAGAGGGTCCTGGACAGAGCGGGAGAAAAATGTAGCACAAAATTCAAATTCAAAAAAAAAAAAAAAAAAAAAAGACCAGGCTTGCTGCTTCGACTGATACTGGAGAAACCTGAGAATATAGCCCCCGGACATCCTTTTAACTCAGTATGGAAGTCAGTCCTGAGGTTCACCCTTCAGCCAAAGATTAGACAGGTCTATGGGGCCAACAATAACACATGTGAGGGACTTGCTTCACAGTTCTATCATGTATATGAGACTCATGGGCGCACCAGCCCAAAAGCAACGATGAGAAGGCAGGAAGGGACAGGAAAACTGGACAAATGGAGACAGAGAGAACCCCTGGGGTGGAGAAGAGGAGAGTGCTGACACATTGCGGGGTTGGCAGTCAATGTCTCAGAACAATTTGTGTATTAACTGTTTAATGAGAAACTAATTTGCTCTGTAAACTTGCACCTAAATCACAATAAAAAAATTTTTTTCAGAAAAAAAGACACACACATAAAAAAGTGCTTTAGTCAAGACATTGGTCTCCAGAGTAAGAGGCCTAGGATTGAATCCAGCTGTACCACTTACCAGCTATGTTACCTTGAGAAGGAAATTTCAGTGTTCTTAGCTTCAGCTTCCTTATCTGTAAGATGGTTGTATCAGTTCCAATCCCATAGGCTGATAAAAAGATGAATACATGTTCCATGCTTAGCTTAATTCCTGGTATGTTAATTGCACAAGAAGTGTTGGTTATTTTTCTAAGAAGCTGTATTTTGTCCCTTTGTTAATAATTCATAGTTTCAGTTCACTATTGCTAGATAACTTGGACTGGGCTATTTATTCTTGTAATTTATTAAGATTTTCTTTGTTTTCTAGTATATGCTTAGTTTTTATAATTCTTCCATGACCATTTGAAAAAAAGAGCATTATTTTATATGTACAAATATAGATTTAAAAATATATATCTACTTATTGTGTTGATGATATAAGTGTATATGTATTTTTTGAATATGCTTTAAATATTTATGGAATATTATGAAATACTACATATTCTTCTAGGGAATTGGGGATATGACAGTGACTAAAACTGACAAAATTCCTGCCTTTCCTGGGATTTACTTTCTGGAGGGGCAGGATGAGAGACAGTATAGAAAGATAGCAACATCTATCATTTGTTGGATGTTGAGAATAGAAAAATAAAACAGAGGTCTTAGGGTGGGTAATAGGGGTTCCTGCAACAGATCACAGGATGGTACAGGACCAGGCAGTGTTTTGTTCCATTGTGCATGAGGTCACCATGGGTTGGGGGCCAACTCAATGGCTGCTAGCAGTAGCAACAACAATCGGGATTACGTTTTTAGGTAGATAGCTAGGGAAAGCCTCACTGAGGAAGTAATTATTTAAGCAAAGATAATGGAAGTAGTGAGAGAGCAAACCGTGTAGCTGTCTGGGAAAAGAGTGTCCTAGGCAGAGGGAAAATCAAGGACAGAGATTGTGGTGTGGTAAAAGATCTATCCTGATTGAGGAACACCAAGGAGACCAGCAGGCTAGAGCAGAGGAAGAGAGGGAGAGAGTAGTAGGAGGTGATTTCACAGAGGTAACAGAATAAAAAATCACGTAGGATGTTAAAGACCATTGTACGGACTTTGGCTTTTACTAAGAGATATGAGAAGCCATTGGAGAGTTTTGAGCAGAGGAGAGACATGATCCAAAGTAATTAATAGAATTACTTCAGCTGCTGTGTTAGGAGTGGACTGATGAGGATGAGGGGCAGATATGAGTTTGGAAGTTGGGAGATCAGTTGGTGAGACATTGGGATAATCCTGGTGAGAGGTGGTGACTTGGACTAGGGTGGTAGCAGTGGAAGGTGAACATTAGTACAATTTTAGATTTGTTTTGTCTTAAAAAATTGGGATAGTTTTGAAGATAGAGTTAACAGGATTTCCTGATAGATAGTATGTGGGGTGTAAAAGAGAAGTATTAAGGAAAACTAAGATTTTTTTGCCTGAGCATGAGATTTTTGGCCTGAGCACCTGAAAGAATGGAGTTCTCATTTCCTGAATTGGAGACTACTAGAGAAGGAGTAGATTTTTGGGGAAAAGAATAGGATCTTAGGTTTAGAAATAAGTTTGATATTATTCTAATCCTTTATATCCTGAACTTCTGATTTGTGAGATCTGTTAAGGACTGCCAGAGTTGAAGTAAAGTGTTCCCACTGAAATTGTCTGTTTCTCCTTGTATTTCCTGCAGTCTCTGCTATGTATGTTTCAGTGCTGTTATTGGGCATGTAAGCCTTCATTTGAGGTATATTTGCTTTGGTCAGATCATCTTGGTACTGTGTAATGCTTTTGCCTTGTAATCTATTTTGTCTAATATTAACGTTATGTTGTTTCGTATATCTGTGTTCATTCTTTTACTTAACCTTTCTTAGATAACTAAAGCAAAGTGCCTTAGAGAAGTTTTATTTTTGACTTTCTCTGTCAGTATTTTTTAATAAATGTGTTTAACACTTTTACACTTAGTGTTGTAACACATAAGCTTGTAACTTCTTTGTTAAGTTGATATACTTTCTCACATGTGCTAGCAGGGACTCAGTTGTTTTTTGTTTCTAAACACATGAACAACTAGTTGACCAGGAAAAATAATTTTGAGTCATAATTTTTTTTCTTAACTATTGCTCTTTTGCTCTATACAGTGGCTAATGCTTATGAATAGAAATTTGAAGCCAGCCTTATTTCTTTTTCCCTTTGTAAATAATCTGTTTTCTTCTACCTGCATGCTTATTAGAACTCCTTAATCTTTGAAATTCAGGAGTTGTCTCTGTATTGGTTACTTACCAAAAAAAAAAAAAAAAAGCAACAAATTATTTTGAAATAATTTCAGATTTATAGTGAAATCCTGTATCTCTTCATCTAGATTGAAGAATTTGTCCACATTTTACATTTTCTCCATCTCCCTGCTTCCTTCCCTCCCATACATGTATGCTGCACACTGTCTTTTTCTGAACCATTTGAGAGCAAGTTGCCAACACGATGCACCATTACTCTTAAATATCCCAGTAGGTATTTCAGCAAGACAACAAACCCTTTAACCATCCAAATCAGGATATCGGTATTAATACAACATTCATTCCACAGACTCCTTTAAATTTTTCCAGCTGTCCCATCAGAGTTTCTTTTTTCCTTCTAGTCCAGGATCTAATCTAGGATCAAGAATTTGTATTTAGCCATCATGTCTTTTGAGTGCCCTTCAACATGGAACTGTTCCTCAGTCTTTTCTTAACTTTCATGATGTTGACATTTTAAAAAGAGTACAGGCTTTTCATTCTTTAGAATCACCTTGAACCTTGATCTCTCTGATGTTTCTTCATGATTAGTCATAGACCATGCATATTTGGCAGGAATATTACAGAAATGATGCTATGTTCTTTATGCATCACATTAGGAGACACACAGTGTTGACACGTCTACTACTGGTAATTTTAATTTTGATCACCTGGTCAATTGTTGGCAGCCAGACTTCTCTGTAAAGACATTTTTTTTCTCTTTCCTAATTTAGAAGTATTTTGTGGGGGTTAATATTCTGATACTAATTCAGTAACCTGTTTCTTATCAAACCTCCATTGACCACCCTTAGTATCCATTGAAGACTCCTGCCTGAATCTTCAGCCACTAATGATAGTTTCCAAATGGGGATTTTTTACTTCCCTTATTCCTTCTCCTTTCAGTAGTTGGCATTCTACTATAAGAAATAGCATTCTTTATCCCTCCCCCCCATTTATTCATTATTCATTTATTTATATCAGTATGGACTACTGGGTTCCTAGTTTATTCAGTGGGTTGTAATCTTTAACTATCATCTATCCTATACTTAAATTGTACCTCCGGATGGCTAATACTTATGAATGGAAATTTGAACCAGCCTTAATTCTTTTTCCCTTTGTAAATAATCTGTTTTCTTCTACCTGTATGCTTATTAGGTGTCCTTTCAAACTGATCCCTGTGTCCTTCTGTCATATTTCCATCATTGTTTGAACACTTTTGTATTTTTTGGCTTAAAATATTCTTGGCTCATCTTACATTTCCACTGCCCCAACCCTGGAATCAGTTACTTCTTCTTAGGAGCCTTGTTCCTTTTAGTGGAAGATGGCATTTATATATCTAGATTTGGGTACTTGGAATGCTCGTTGTTACTGGATATCGTTGCTTTTTGGCTGTCTCAGGGGACAGAGCTAGGAAATAGATACACACATCTATACACGTATATCTGTACCATACACACACAAGCCTCTTTATCTAGCTTTATATCGGTATTAAGAAACCACAAGTTCACATGGATACCTCCAATTCCACTCTGACACTTCAGACTTCCTCTTTTTCATTTTTATAAACCCCTTCTCCAACCTAGCTCCCGTTATTCTCAGATTGTTCACTTATTTGTTTAGTTCCTTCTCTGAATCCACCAGCTGCCTCCAAGCCTCACTGCTTTGGGAAAATTTTCAAGCAGAGATTGTTGTTGCCATCGAGTTGATTCCGACTCATGGCAACCCTATGAGTGTAGAGTAGAACTGCTCCATAGGATTTTCAAGGCTGCGACCTTTCGGAAGCAGATCACCAGAGACTAGACCTCTACTTATTCTTACAGCAATTGCATCAGAAATTACATTATTTATTTTGGGGGGTAACATCTTTATACAATACAATGGTTTTTAGTAGATTCACAGAGTTGTGCGACCATCAGTACTATCAGTTTTAGAACATTTTCATCATCCGCAAAAGAAACTCCATACCCTTTAACAGTTGCCTCTTATTTTCCTTCAAACCCCTAGCCCTAGACGACCACTAATCTACTTTCTGTTTCTGTAGATTTGACTATTCTGGACAGAGAAATTAGATTTTATGATTGTTGAGATTTCTTCCAAAATAGCAATTTTAAGTGACTTCTTGACTTATATGTTTGGCATCCAGCTAGGGTGACTGGAACAGTTGGGGTCTGGCCTGGCATCTCTTTTCTTCCATGTAGCCTTTCCATGTGGTTAACTTGGGCTTCCTCACTGTATGACAGTCTTGGGGTAGTCATTCTTCCATGATGGCTGGCTTCAACCGAGAATGAAATTCTAAGGTGTAAGCTGCAAATCTTCTTAGCATTTAGCCTTTGAAGTCCCAGAATGTCGTTTATGCTGTATTCTATTGATAAAGCAAGTCACTAAGACCAGATTCAGTGAGAAGGAAGTTAGATTTTGCCTCTTGATGAACAACAGCATTTGTGTACTGAACGCGAAAGAGTTGATAGCAGCTGTCTTTACAGACTATTTACTAAGGTTGAGAACCCCTGACCTAACTGGCACACTGCTAAATTCAGAACAGTTGTACTATTTTAGAACTTTTAGGAGCAAGTAGCAGGTAGAACATAGATTATATTATTAGCTATTTATTATCATACCCTGCATTTTGATTCACCCAGTGATTTGTTTAACCTGTTCATGGGTAATAGAAAACTTGTTTTTTTTTTCCTTTTTTATTATTGTACTTTATTTTTTTTAAAGATTACCTCTTTTTTTTTTAATTGTACTTCAGGTGAAGGCTTACAGAACAAATAGTTTCTCATTAAACAGTAGTACACATATTATTTTATGACATTGGTTAACAACCCCATGACATGTCAACCCTCTCCCTTCTCGACCTTTTTTTGTGAAAATATACATAGCCAAAGATACACCATTTCAAAAATTTCTACATGCACAGTTCAGTGACATTGACTACGCTCTTCCAGTTGTGCTGCTGTTCTCACTTTAGATGAAGGTTTACAGAACAAAATAGTTTCTCATTAAACAGTTATTACACATGTTGCTCTATGACAATGGTTAACAATCCCACTACATGTCAGTATTGTCCTTACTCAACCTTGGGTTCCCTATCACCAGCTTTCCTGTTCCCTTCTGCCTTATAGTCCTTGTCCCTGGACTGCTGTGCCTCATTAGTCCCGTTTTGTTTTATGGGGCTGTCCAATCCCCAGCTGAACGGTGAACCTCGGAAGTGGCTTCACCACTGAGCTAAAAGGGTGTCTGGGGGCCATACTCTCAGGGTTTCTCCAGTCTCTTTTAGACCAGTAAATGTGGTCTTTTTTGTGTATGTTAGTATTGTACTTTAGATGAAAGTTTATAGAACAAACTAGCTTCTCATTAAACAGTACACATACTGTTTTGTGACACTGGTTACCAACCCCACGACATGTCAACACTCTTCCTTCTTTTTATTTATTTATTTTATTTTTATTGTGCTTTAAGTGAAAGTTTACAGCTCAAGTTAGTTTCTCATACAAAAATTTATACACACATTGTTCTGTGACCCTAGTTGCTCTCTCTATAATGTGACAGCACACTCCTCCTTTCCAACCTGGATTTCCTGTGTCCATTCAACCAACTCCTGTCCCTTTCTGCCCTCTCATCTCGCCTCCGGACAGGAGCTGCCCACTTAGTCTCATGTATCTACTTGAACTAAGAAGCACATTCTTCATGAGTATCACTTTATGTCTTATAGTCCAGTCTAATCTTTGTCTGAAGAGTTGGCTTCGGGAATGATTTTAGTTCTGGGTTAGCAGAGAGTCCGGGGGCTGTGTCTCAGTCAGACCATTAAGTCTGGTCTTTTTATTGGAATTTGAGTTCTGCACCTCACTTTTCTCCTGCTCCATCAGGGACTGTCTGTTGTGTTCCCTATCAGGGTGGTCATTGGTGGTAGCTGGGCACCCTCTAGTTCTTCTGGTCTCAGGCTGATGGAGTCTCTGGTTTATGTGGCTTTCTGTCTCTTGAGCCAATATTTTCCTTGTGTCTTTGGTGTTCTTTATTCTCCTTTGCTTCAGGTGGGTTGGGACCACTTGATGCATCTTGGATGCCTGCTAGCTTTTAAGACCCCAGATGCCAGTCACCAAAGTGAGATGGAGAACTTTTTCTTAATAAACTTTGTTATGCCAGTTGACCTAGATGTCCCCTGAAACCGTGGTCCCCAGAATCCCATCTCTGCTACTCTGACCCGCAAAGTGTTTGGTTGTATTCAGGAAACTTCTTAGCTTTTGGTTTAGTCCAGTTGTGCTGACTTCCCCTGTAGTGTGTATTGTCCATCCCTTCACCTAACATAATTCTTGTCTACTATCTAGTCAGTGAATACCCCTCTCCCTCCCTCCCCATCCTAGTAACCATCAAAGAATGTTTTCTTCTGTGTTTCTTGAGTTCTCATATCGGTCTCATATAATATTTGTCCTTTTGCAGCTAATTTCACTCAGCATAATGCCTTCCAGATTCATCCATGTTATGAGATGTTTAGCGAATTCGTTGTTCTTTATCTTTGCGTAGTACTCCATTGTGTGAATATACCATAATTTGTTTATCCATTTGTCCATTAATGGGCACCTAGGTTGTTTCCATCTTTTTGCTATTGTGAACAGTGCTGCAGTGAACATGGGTGTGCATATATCAATTCGTGTGATGGCTCTTATTTCTTTAGGATGTATTCCAAACAGTAGGATTGCTGGATCGTATGATACTTCTATTTCTAGCTTTTTAAGGAAGTGCCAAATCGATTTCCAAAAGTGATTGTACCATTTTACATTCCCACCAGCAGTGTATAAGTGTTCCAGTCTCTCCACAACCTCTCCAACATTTATTATTTTGTGTTTTTTGGATTAATACTAGCCTTGTTGGGGTGAGATGGTATCTCATTGTAGAAAACTTGTTTTTAAAACATTTTTTTAAAGTTATTTTTAACTGTTATGCTCTTTAGATATATTTATTGTAGAGCAAAGTCTGGGAAAATGTTACACTGTTTTTGCTTAGTTTTCATTCCTTAGCACTGAAAAGCAAAGAGGGGAATAAAGTATCTTGTCAGGTCAAATTTTATTTAAAATGTTTACATTGAAATTGACCAGTTAACACACTTTAACTCAATATTGAGTTAGTAGCCATTTCTCCATGATACTATCTTTTTGCAGATGACTCAAGAGTGAAAAGATCTAAAGTGATACTAGAGAACAAAATACATCACAAATTAGGTAAAATTATTTTATTTTTTTCTCTTTTTAAATATTCTATTGAGGAAAATTCTATTATTAAGCCTTTGTTTATAAAATGGGGGAGATACTATTTGGATTAATTTGCAGATAAATTAAAATCATGTATTCTGTTTCCAGAATGCAAATTATGTATTCTGAATTCCATAGGAAATCATCACAAGCCATTGATTCACTCTGTTGTCTATCTGTAAATCCTGCAACCGTCCTACACGTTGCCCCATATTAAGGAGCATGATCCCACCTAGGCTTCGTAGCTAGGGTGGAGAATTTTGTCAAAGAAAATTAACTGCTTAGGAGATGGTATTTCTAACAGCTTCTCTTCCCAACTTTTATCTTAATTTTTATTCCTAAGCTAAGTAGTAGCTAGGAAGGGCAAGTAGGCAGAGTTGGGAGCTAGGGAACCAATGGAGAGACTCATATAAGGATTAGAACTCCATGGCTCCCAGAGAAATATTTCTCAGTCAGGATTGTGGGAACTCCTACTTGTGTGGTGTATTGGGAGTTACCCTCTATTTCCGCCCCACACTTGTAGCTCGTAGTGACCACACACTTATTACTGAGTAGCAGTGATGCTTCTTCTCATTGTCTCAAATGAGAAGTAACATCTTGCTGGTTAGTATCTCACTGGCTTGTATGAACAGGCTGCTATATCTCCCAAAGCTTAATGCCTGTCTTGGAGTAGAATGATGAATAGAGCCAGTAGACAAAGGGAAATAAGAATGTCTCTGAACAGTGGCTCCAGCATCCAGAAAAAGGAAAATCAAGCATTATGCCCAAGAACAGTAGGCAACTTCTGGTGAACTAGAACTTTTGTAGGAGATGGATAACAATTTTAACAATAAAAGAAATATGAGCACTTTCAGAGATTCAGTTACAACATAAAAGACTTTCTGGTACTAAAAATCATGAATTTTCCAGTTTAAAAAGTCAGTAGATGAACTGAAAGAAAGGATAGTCATTGCTGAGAGCTGTTAGTAACTGGTGTTCACATGGAAGAAATTCCTCAAGACAGCAAAAATGCAAAAAGATCAAAACCTTGAGGGAAAAAGATATGAACCTTAATACAAATAACATGGAGACAGTGGACAAAATATACAAATTAATTTCTGGATTTCCAGAAAAAGAAACAGATGGAGAAGAAAAAACAGTTTAAAAAGTAGTGGAAGAAAACTTCCCTGGGTTGAAGATAGGCTTGAGTCTGCAGTTTGAGTTTACTAACTGCTGGTCAGGATTATTGAAAAATATATACCTCTGGACATAAGTGAATAAAGTTCCTAAATTTCAAAAATAGTGGGAAGCTTCCAGACAGAAAGAACAAATTGTATGCACAAGAAAAAAAATGACTGGCACTGCTCATCACTGTAACCTGGAAGACAATAAAATAATATCCATAGCCACTTGTTAGAAATGCTGTACAATCCAAATATCTTATACGCAGCCAAGGTAGCTTTCTTTCTGATAGATGAATTATATTTGCAAATAATGCAAGACTGAGCTAAATTAAAACGCTCATGTGAGGTTTTCTAACCAAGTATCGTATAAATCAGAACTGAGTCCAAAGAGAGGAAACAGTGGTGAAGGAATAATTCTTGAAATTATACATTGTTAAACAATCACCTGCATTAATTTTCTATTGCTATGTAAAGGTTACCATAAATTCTGTGGCTGAAGACAACACGCATTTATTTTCTCATGGATTCTATGGGTCAGAAGTCCAGGCATGGCTTAGCTGGGTCCTTTTAACGGTTTCACAGGCTGCAATAGAAATGTTAGCTTGGTCTCCAGGGTCTTACCTAGGGCTCGGGGTCTTTTTTTAAGCTTGCATGGATGTTGGCAGAATTCAGTTCCTTGCAGTTGTAGGACTGAAGTTCCTGTATTCTTGCTGACTTTTGGCTGTGGGCCACTCCCAGCCTCTAGCTGCAGTTCTTGCCACGTGACCCTTTCCTTTTATAATATGGCACCTTGTGTCTATGAAATCTGCAAGGAAGAATCGCTGCTTTTGCTAGACAGAGTCTTATATGTATATTATATATATTATCATAATGTCCCTGGGTGGCGCAAATGGTTAAGCACTGGACTGCTAGCCGGAAGCACTTGACTACTAGCAGTTCGAACCTACCCAGAGGCGCTTCAGGAGACAGGACTGGTGATCTGTGTCCGAAAGGTCACAGCATTGAAAACCCATGGAGCAGTTCTGCTCTGCACACATGGGGTTGCCATGAGTCATAATCGGCTCAATGGCACCTAACAATATAATTGGACATCCCATCATCTTTTTGTTATATTCTGTTGATTAGAAGAAAGTCGTGGATCTCACCTGAACTAAAGGGTGCATATCACCTTAGGGTATATTTGCTACTAATGCTGATGTGGTCGGGGATTTATAACTGCTAAGTAAGAATTTTTATAGTAATATTGAAATCCAGACTGTCTTACAACTTAGTGTGGTGGGGAAGAGATCAGGGGCAGAGGAGTGATAGTAAAAGTGACCTAAAAGTTTTCTTCTTCTGAGTGGGAGAAAGGACAGGATACTCTTATCTTGGTAAGGGATATAGTTTTTGATATACTCATGAAGAAATATGAGTTTGATTTTTCAGTGTCAGGAATGAGAAGAAGAAACACCTTTAAAGTGAGTTTTTAACATAATAGATAGTAAAAAATAGATGAACAAATGTAAACAAAAACAAAGTAGTATTATAATTTTAATGTTAGGCAGAGTGAAATTTGAGGTTAAAAGTACTGAACCAGGATAAAGAAGAACACGTAATGATAAAATGAACAATTTATGAATAAGAGAAAACTCATAAACTTTTTTGCATCAGATAACCTAGCAACTAAAATGTAAGCAAGGAGATTTTCATTTAAATAATACAGTTAGAATGGGAGCAGACAAAACGTAGGTAGGGACATAAGAATTTGATAATACAGCCAACAAACTCAATTTACTATATAGAACTTCGCATGGTTCAAATAAATTGAACACACATGCGTACACATTCCTCTATCTTTACTGATTTTCCTAATGCAGAACATTTAGATGATTTCCAATTAGTTATTTGTTGCTATTATAAACAGTACTACCATGAACATACTTGTGCCTCTATATAGCTATACCCATTTGTGTGAGTATTTTTGCAAACTCTGTTCCTAGAAATGAAATTGCTGGGTCAATTTATGATCATTAATGAGTATTGCTAATTTGTCTTCAGTCAGTGTAAATTTCTACCAATATATGAGAGTTCCTAGGTACCTTTAACATTGCCAGCCCTGGTTATTACCAAGTTTTTAAATGTTTGGTAATATGGTAGCCTATATTTTCATTGACATTTTTTAATTATTAGCATAAATGTATCTGAAAATTTTGTTTTTCTAGTCATTTGTCTGGAAGCATACATGTTCTAAAAGGTAATATCAATTGCAGGGTATCATTCAACTAAACATTTAGATGTGTACATTTTTGTCTGATATCCTTTTATAGTATTGCCCTCCAATACACCAAATGTTCGCAGGACCAAGAGAACACGATTGAAACCTTTGGAATACTGGCGAGGGGAGCGAATAGATTATCAAGCAAGTCAATCAGGTAAAATCCAATTTGTGCTTTAATGTCTTTCAATAATAAAATAATAAGAATTGATGTAGTTTTTTTATCTTTACTATATGCCAGGTACTGCCCTACACATTTATATATATTACCTGATTTAGTCACACCCTCTTCCCAAAATGTGACCAGAATAGGATTCAAATCCAGATTGCCTGGTTCCTATAGAGATGCTAATTTTTTCCCCCTTTGATAGCTATTTGAGGCGGTGGTGTGACCTTATAGAGTGTTGTTATTTCTGTATTATTAACAAGATTTCTAATTGCATACGATGAAACAGTAGATCAGAACATGAGAAAATTATAACGGGTAAAGTTAAAGTTATTCCCCATTATTATTTTTATCCAACTTCCTCATCATATTTTCATGAAAAGAAATGGTGGACATTGGGCAGGAGAGTATAGTGTTGTCTTAAAGCTATTTCCTTTCTTTAGTGACTGTACTAAATCAAAGGATGAGACTCATACAGATTACTATAAATAGTTCATCCCTGGCCTGCCCTTTTTTTTTTTTTTTTAACCTCCCCTAATGACTTGATTTCAAGCAAGCAACATGTTTTATCAGTGCTAGATTTAGAGTAAGAGAGGCATAAATGAAATTGGTTGGTATCTCTGTTATTTGAATTATTAGAATGTAGTAATAGTGTTCTTTGGTACTGTGAAAGGAAATGTGCTGTATTAATTTAACGAGGTTTGTTTCAAGCTTTTCACTTTACCATATGTGTTATTTTAACTTGTGTTGTTGTTGTTTAATTTCAGGAGGATTTGTGGTTGGTGGAGTACTGTCCCCAGACACAGTGTCACCTAGAGGAAAGAAGGCAAATAGAAAAACAGGAAAAGTCAACAAAATAACTAATAAGAAAAGGATCTGTCATGATAGCGGTGAAAGAAGTATGAACTTATTCCTGAAAGTAACTTTTAGATTTTCTTTTAATAACATAGTGCTTTGAGAAGAAGCTCTCTGTGTGTTTTGAAATTTACCTTTAAAAAGTTCACACATAATACTATAGGTAAAATTTGCTTTTTAATGCCTATTTTTTTTCCAAATTTAGAAAGCAAACTGATTTAAGAATCATTAGTAGCATAATATAAAACATTTTCTCATGAGTAACTTGCTTAGTCAAATGATGCTTACCTTTACCATGTCCATGCTATGGTTAAAATAGACATTTTAATATATTCTTTTAAAAGTATGTTATATACTTCCAGCTTTCTTAGAGAATATGCAAAATATCATTTAACTTCTTGATGCAGGAGTTTAAGAATTGTCATAATTGGCTTATACTGGTTAAGACGTTTAAGGTATTTGCTTTTATATTAAACCATTGTGGATTTTTAAATCAGAATTTTTGTTTATCCAAGTGGTCATTTATAAACAGGAAGAGATTGTTATGCCTCTGGCAATTTTCTTTTACAACTTGTATATCTATAGCTGTATTTCATATTGGACTTTTTTTTTTTTTTGGTAATTGAGCAGAATTTTAAGTAAGTAGTTTGTATTTCAATGGTATTTCTTTTGCAGAGAATAAATTAGTGGCAAATCTGAATATACCTCTAGGAGATCCTTTTCAACCAACGAGGGTAAAGGACCCAGAAACAAGAGAAAGCATTCTAATGGGTAAGATAAGGGATGATATTGAAAATACTTCATTTATTAATAACTAGTAAGAATAACCCTGGTGGTGCAGTGGTTAAGAGCTTGACTGCTAACTGAAAGGTCGGCCGTTCGAATCCACCAGTCACTCCTTGGAAACCCTATGGGGCAGTTCTACTCTGTCCTGTAGGGTTGCTATGAGTTGGAATCGACTCAGTGGCAACAGGTTTGGTTGGTTTTTGTTTAGTAAGGACAAACTGCTGGTCTTATAACCAGCCTGTCTACTTTCTCTTTCTTTAATCAGCTCTTTCAGAGCTAAAGTCCAGCAGAGGGTCTTAATTCCAGCAAGCAGTCTGTATGGAGACAATTCTGGGGAAGCAATGATGGCAGACAACTTCCAGAGGACACATGGCATCCTGTATTTGCCCTCTGGGGTCAAGTACTGCCTACAAGAGTATTGCCTCCCTCAACATGGTCCAGTCCTTCTTTGACCAAGAGAATACATGGGAACAGGGACTGTTTATGGGGAATTGCAGCAAGTTAGTTGGCAAACCCTAGGATACTTTCTCACCACCCATAGGGGCAGTCAGGGATTGTGGGCAGGGCATAGACAGCCTTCTAGGCTTTGGGCTACCAATAATAGTACCTGGGATGTGAAACCTTAAGGCTGGTGCAAGGTCCTAGAAGCCTCCTGTATTAGATAGGTATTAATCATTTAGTCACTGGAAGGCAGAGGCTGCCACAGGAGGTCCCGATTGAGGATCTATGATAGAATGGGGGCTAATAGGAAACATTCAGCTATTTACCAATCAGGTAACATTTACATACACAAAATATTTAAATATTTTAACAACTATTAACGACTGTACCATTGTGTACTGAGTAACATTTGTCCTAAGTCAGAAGACAAATAGGTCAAACTACAGAGGCAGTAATAGAATTCTCACTTAAAATCTGGGCTATGAGATCTTAATTAGCGAAGTTATTTCCATATTTAGATTGTTTATTTGGCAGCAGAGGTAGAATTAACAGAGAGTTTTGTTTGGTGTCATAACTAAAAATTTCTGTATGGTACCAGGTTAGATAAGTTGTGGGCATTGACAGGAGTTCATCACTTTTTGTCTATTTCTTGAGTCTTCTGTGCATTTCCTATATCCTATAGTCTGTGCAATTATTAACATTCCTGTATGTTCAGAGAAACAGAGTCAGAAGCCGTTGCTGATAGAAGAACATAAAATTATAGATCTGGAAAGATTTGTAAGTAAAAGGGAAATTCCAAAGTGAGATCGTAATTTGTGAGCAACAGTTAGAACTCTGGTTTCTCGTAGCTTTTACCTGACAAATAAAAATCTTTTTCTCAGTCAGGTTAGCTCAAAAGAACCTGTTGGCATAGTGATGATACATTTGTATTGTGGACTATGTTAAACTTTTTTAAAGATAGGAATTCTTATCTCTCCCCTAATTTTCTTTTTCTTTTGAGCTATAATAGTAATAATAATACTGCCATTATTATTAATAACTAAGACTTAACATAGTACTTACTTTGTGCCAGACACTGTTTTAAACATTTTACACGTTAACTAATTTGGTATTTACAGTAACTCTTTAACATAGATAAACTATTATTATCCCATTTTACAGAAAAGAGAATGGAAACAGAGAAAGAGGTTAAGTAACTTGCCTAAAGTCATATAGCTAGTAAGACAGGCAGGATATAACACTCCAGCATTATAGCTCCAGAGTCAGTGATCTTAATCATTAATTACTTCTGCCTTTCTAAGGCAAGTTTATATCTAGAAATAACTCTTATTGTACATGTGTATATAGTACTATATCATTGAGCAATATCATTGCTGTTGCTTCATATTTATATTACTATTGTTTTTCCATAGATCTTGTAAGGCCACGAGATACATATCAATTTTTTGTTGAGCATGAGGAGTTGAGAGTATATAAAACATTGGATACACCTTTTTTTTCTACTGGAAAATTGATATTAGGGCCATGTCAAGAAAAGGGAAAGCAGCATGTTGGCCTAGATACATTGGTGAGTATTTACGCGTCTCCATATATTTATTGTTTTGCTGTAGGTGTAGCACTGATTTATTCAACTTAATGGGGGACTAAAAATATGTCAAGTCTGTTTAGTCAGCCAACCAGTAATTATTTAAAACCACCTGTTCTATGCCTAGCATTGCAACCTTGAGAGTCAGAAGTTTAAGGAATGGTCTTTACTTAAAAGAATCTTAGAATATAGGTTTTCAGATAAATCATTAGAATTTTAGAAATGGAGGGGACTATAGAGATTAAGTCTAATTCCTCATTTCTCAGGTCATATAATTGAGAAATAGAGAGTTCAAAAGACTTCTTCAAAAGTCAGCTAGTTATTGGTGGTTAGCATCTGGGGTCTTAAAAGTCTGTGAGTGGCCATCTAAGATACTCCATTGTTCTCACCCCTTTGGGAGCAAGGGAGAATGAAGAAAACTAAAGATACAAGGGAAAGATTAGTCCGAAGGACTAATGGACCACAACTACCACGGCCTTCACCAGACTGAGTGCAGTACAACTAGATGGCACCTGGCTACCACCACTGACCACTCTGACAGGGATCACAATAGAGGGTCCCAGATAGAGCTGAAGAAAAATGTAGAACAAATTCTAACTCACAAAAAAAGACCAGACTTACTGGTCAGATGGAGACTAGAGAAACCCTGAGAATATGGCCCCTGGACACCCTTTTAGCTCAGTAATGAAGTCACTCCTAAGGTTCACCCTTCAGCCAAAGATTAGACTGGTCCATAAAGCAAAATGAGACTAAAAGGGCACACCAGCCCAGGGGCAAGGACTAGAAGGCAGGAGGGGACAGGAAAGCTGGTGACAGGGAGTCCCAGGTCGAGAAGGGAGAGTGTTGACATGTCGTGGGGTTGTTAACCAATGTCATAAAATAATGTGGGTACTAACTGTTTAATGAGAAGCTAGTTTGTTCTGTAAACCTTCATCTAAAGTACAATTAAAAAAGAAAAATCTACGTGTCAGAAGTCAACTAGTTCGCATCAGACCCAGGACTAGGAGCTAGTTGCTTCAACAAGTCCTGAGCAATATACTATTATGTGTAACACTATTACTGTCTGAAGTTACAGTGAGATTCAAGGTGAGTCTCTCTAACACACACACACACACACGCACACACGCTCTCTCTCTCAAGTATCACTTTAAGCACTTTCTAAATGTCAGGTATCATGCTAAGCACTTCACACATAGTGTCTCATTTATGTTGTATCTATTATTTATGGTGAGGAAACTGACTCGAAAATGTTAAGTGACTTGCCCAGGGTTGCCCAATTAGTAAACGGCACTTTGTTAGGCTCCAAATTCATGCTCTTTACCACTGTATCATAAACACTACTGAAAAATGTTAGTAGCCTACTCCACTGGTCTCATCCCTTCGGGAGCAAGGGAGAATGAAGAGAACAGGATACAAGGAAAAGATTAGTCCGAAGGACTAATTGTCCACAGCTACGAAGGCCTCCACCGGACTGAGTCCAGTACAGCTAGATGGTGCCCGGCTACCACCACTGACTGCTCTGACCAGGATCACAACAGAGGGTTCTGGACAGATCTGGAGAAGGATGTAGAGCATAATTCTAACTCACAAAAGAGACCAGATTTACTGGCCTAAAGGAGACTGGAGAAACCCCAAGAGTATGGCCCCCAGACACCCTTTTAGCTCAGTGGTGAAGTTACCTCCGAGGTTCACTGTTCAGCCTGGGAGTGGACAGCCCCGTAAAACCAAATGAGACTAACGAGGTACAGGAGTCCAGTGACAAGGGCCAGAAAGCAGAAGGTGACAAGGAAGCTGGTGATAGGGAACCCAAGGTTGAGTAAGGAGATTGTTGATGTGTTGTGAGATTGTTAACCATTGTCATAGGGCAACATATGTAGTAACTGTTAAACGAGAAACTATTTTGTTCTGTAAGCCTTCATCTTAAGTGAGAATAACAGCACAATTGGAAGAGCGTAGTCAATGTCACTGAACTGTGCATGTAGAAATTTTTGAAATGGTGTATCTTTGGCTATGTGTATTTTCACCAAAAAAAAAAAAAAAAGGTTGAGAAGTTGGAGGGTTGATACGTTGTGGGGTTGTTAACCAATGTCATAAAACAACATGTGTACTTCTGTTTCATGAGAAACTATTTGTTCTGTAAGCCTTCACCTGAAGTACAATAAAAAAAAAAAAAAAAAAAAAAATGTTAGTAGCAATTAGCTATGGGTAGTTCGAACCCACCAGCCACTCCATGGGAGAAAGATGTGACAGTCTTCTGTAAAAATCACACCCTTAGAAACCTGTTGGGGCAGTTCTACTCTGTCCTGTAGGGTCGCTATGAGTTGGAATTGACTTGATGGCAGTGGGTTTAGGAAAGAAGAGAGCCTTTTCAGAAAGGGTTGTGGAGGTTAAAAACAGTATAAATAAAAGTATGAAAGTAACACTTAACCCTGTAGGAACAATAAAGACAATGTTCTGGCGACAACAGACAGTTTATATAGGTGAGGACAATGTGTCACATTCTTTTGCCTTTTTGTATTACACAGGTTTTGAAATCATTCAAGTGTTCTTAAAGTCTCAACTTATGAACAAACGTTTCAAATAGTGCAAATTCCCCAAATATAAAATATTTGTCAGGAATTGCATAATTTCAAAGGCTGAGGGAATTATAAACTACCTGTATACTACTGCCACCTGCTGGTTACTTTAACATAGCGACTTTTCTTCCTTTGTTATTCCTTTGGGAAGATCAATCTTTAATTAAGTAGTTTCCCAGGACTGGATGGTAGTGGTAGTGGTGGTGTAGTAAAGAAATAAACATAGTAATAATTTAGCTGAACTATATGAATTGCGATTTTTGTAGGTAAAAAATTGTTGAATATTAGCAACTTTATTGTCTAACCCAGAGTACTTTTGAGGGTAAAGGGGAGGGCAATATTATTATTATGTTGGATGTTGTTGTTTTGTGCCCTTAAGTAGATTCTTACTCATACATAATGATCCTATGTGACAAAGTAGAACAGCCCCATAGGATATCCTAGGCTGTAATCTTTACAAAAGCAGATTGCCAGGTCTTTTCCCCTGCAAAGCTGCTTGTGGGTTCAAACCTCCAACCTTTCAGTTAGCAGATGAGCACTCAACCATTGCACCACCAGGACTCCTTATTATGTTGGATAACAGGTTTAAATTGAGATTTTCCTGTGCAAATTGGGACTGTACTCTTCTTAGCAATACTGTTTCTTATACATAGAGTAAAGCTGTATTACAGAGGATATGGAAGGCCTGATCAGAATAATTTTAGTTTTGTGGTACCTTTAATATGCTACTAAATTTTAGAATATCTCAGGTCACTAGCAAAGGAGAGGAGTATGGATGTAAGTGGTGTATACCTTAAATATTTAAAAACTCAAGCATTATCAATTACTGTTTATAAACTTTTATCTTGAATTTAGTTCAGAAAACATTTATTGATGACATACTACTAGGATGACTGTTAAGGAGTTCTGTCTAGGAGTAGGATGGTGATGATACATAAAGAACTAACTTTAACACACTATGAAAAATGATATAATAATGCTATTTGTAAACTGTTAAGGGAGTACAAAGGAACAAGCAGGTTGTCAAGGGGAAGGGGAGAGGGTCTGTGGCAGTGTTGGTTTATTTATATAAAACAAGTTGTTAAGAATTGAATATGTAAGTGGTCAGTTTTTACAAATGCCTTTAAATCTGTGCTACCTTTAGGCTATCTGTCCTCCATTTCAGATTACATGAACTATCCAACAGTTCAGAAAAACCAACTCAAATTACTCACCATTTTCTTAGCTCTTAGTGTGTTATAGAGTAGGCAGTGTTTCATGGTATGTGTCTAGGAAAAAAAGAATACCATTAGAGACACATCTCTGCAATAATAGTCTGTAAATGTAATATATAATGTTACATTTCTGTATCCTGAATTTGAAAATTTGGAAAGCATCAAATTTTAAGAATACTTAATGTTATACCAACATTTAATAAATAGAATTTTTCAGTATTTGACATTTCAGGAACCTGTGAAATCATGAGTTACTGGAGTATCATGTTCAAAACAATTCTTTTTGCTGACATATTAAAGTAAGCTCAAAAAAGAGAAAAAAACAATAAGACTCTTGAGTTTATATTAAGAGGGAAAATAAGTGAGGCAAGAAAAGAAAAAGGTATACATAAGAGTCAGATTAATTTGTTAATTTCTACATTAGTATAACTAGAATTCTGTTTTGAAATTTTCATTAGTCTTAAAACACTGTACATCACAAAGTATCTGTAAAAGATTAAAAACAACACATTTAAATATCTAAAGAGTTAGATAGTCTTCGTATAATAACGAAAGTACAATTAAAAGTAAAGATAAGCCTTAGAAGTGTCATCACATTAAACTGTAATGCCTTTAGTTTCCAAAAGGAAATTTCAGTAGTAAATGTTTGAAAGTGTTTAACCCGACTAATATTCAAAGGAATCCACATTAAAGACAAACTGGACTTTATACTTACTGAGTTAGTAGAAATTATTAAAAAAAATATTTATCCCTTTGACCTGTGAATCTCATTTCTAGAAATTTACCCTAGGGAAATAACTTAAAAGTTAGGGGGGAAACTAAACATACGAGGTTATTGTAGCATTGACTGTAATTGTAAAAATTAGAAACCAGTGAAATGTGCTGCTGGAAGAAAATGGTTATGTTTATGTTTTGACTAGTGATAGGATAAACCACACTGATAATAAGCAATTATGTAGCCTTACATGTTCCATGCACTGTACTAAGCATGTTTTGTATTAATTTAAGTACATTATTTTGAAGAGTAGCCATATGAAAAAAACATTTAGGATAAACATTTAGGCAAAATATGCAACATGGAAAATTCTTACACGCATATGAATTTTCATAAGCCAATAAATAATGAAGAACAAAAGAAATTTCTTCCCATATTAATTTTCTATTGCTGCCCTAACAAATTACCATAAATGTAGTGGCTTAAAACAACCCCCATTTATTGTCTCATGGTTCTCTAGGTTAAAAGTCTGCCTAGAATCTCACAAGGCCCAAATTAAGGTGTCAGCTGGGCTGCATTCCTTTCTAGATGCTCTGGGGGATGAATCCGCTTCTAAGCTCATTCGGGTTGTTGGCAGAATTCAGTTCCATGTGGTTGTAGGACTGAAGTCCTTGTTTCCTTGCTGGCTGTTGGCCAGGGTTTTTTTTCTCAGCTTCTAGAAACAGCCTACATTGCCTGGCTCGTGACCCATTTCAGTCCATCTTCAATGCCAGCAACAGCATGAGTGCTTCTCATGCTTCAGGTTTCTCTGACTTCTCCCTCTGCCTCATTGCTTCTCTACTTGCAGCGGGAAAAAGTTGTCTACTTTTAAGGACTCGTGATTAGGTTTGGCCCACCTGGGTAATCCAGGATAATCTCACCATTTCAGGGTTCCTTTTTGCCACACAATGTAACATATTTATCGGTTCTGAGGATTGGAGTTCTGGTCATCTTTGGGGGGTCATTTTCTGCCTGCTGTGCTTCCTTTAAGGTTCCTTGGAGTGTTGTTGATGTGGTGGTTTGATCTGAAATGAGACTTTTGTTTTGAATTTTTTCAGGTTTTCTATGTTGACTTTGGTGACCTTTTATGTACCTTACATGAAACACCTTATCTAATCACTACCGGGGATTCATTCTATGTTCCTTCAGGTAAGAATAATTAAAGGTATTTTATTTCACATAGTTATAATATATTTATATAGTTGCAAATGGGCACCATGAAAACAAAGCCACAGTGGTCAAAATGAAGTGATATGACTAGTGCCAGAGCAATTTCATATTTTCTTTTCATTTTCATCATTAGGTAAGTGTATTAGTGTTTTGATACATGAAAATTGAATAAGAGATGTTTATTGCTGTTTATGAAAATAGTTAGAAGATATATCTTATCCCAGAGTAGAAGGAAAATTGTTTCGCCATGTTATCTCTAAGACATTATGTAGTCAAACAGTTTTTAGTGGATTATTTTAAACATACAGAACAGTGTGCTTCATTGACTATTGGAAGCACAAGTTTTTGGAAATAGGAATTTTGGTTTATTTGTCCATTCATTCAGCAAATACCCCTGAGTGTCTACTATAGCCAGGCATTGCTGTAAGAGTTTGGGATACATAAGTGAACAAAACAGATACAAATTTCTGCCCTCGTGGAGCTTGCATTTTACCGAAGGAGACAACAATATAGCTATGCTTATACATATATATATATATATATACACACATACATACATACACACACACACACATATATATATATATAGTCCTTAGTATGTGGCAGCACTGTTTTGAACACTTTAGGTTTGTTACTACCACTCATTTGTCAGTTTTTCGTACTGAGATGGCTTGCCTGTTGCTGTGATGCTGGAAGCTATGCCACTGGAGTTTCAAATACCAGCGGGGTCATCCATGGTGGACAAGTTTCAGCAGAGCTTCCAGACTAAGACAGACTAGGAAGAAGGACCTGGCAATATACTTCTGAAATAGTTGGCCAATGAAAACCTTATGAATAGCAGCAGAACATTGTCTGATACCCAAGCCGTGGTTATTTTCTGTCGCCACATAATGCATGCTGGACAATGAATACGGAAGACTGAAGAAGAATTGATGCCTTTGAATTGTGGTATTGTTGAAAAATATTGAATATACCATGGACTACCAAAAGTATGAACAAATCTATCTTGGGAGAAGAGCAGCCAGAATGCTTCTTAGAAGCAAGGATGGCAAGACTTTGTGTCACGTACTTTGGACATGTTATGAGGAGGGACCAGTCCCTGGAGAAGGACATCATGCTTGGTAAAGTAGAGGTCAGCAAAAAAGAGGAAGACCCTCAGTGAGATGGATTAACACAGTGGCTGCAACAGTGGGCTCAAACATAGCAGTGATTTTGAGGACGGTACAGGGCTAGGCAGTGTTTCGTTCTGTTGTGCATAGGGTTGCTATGAGTCAGAACCGACTTGAGGGCACCTGACAACAACAAGGTTTATTAACAGTATGTATCAATTTCTAATATATAGAAAGTTGCACTACAGTACTCAATGCTAATAAACCTGCCTTATGTGATGCCATTTTTGTTGTTATTTATTACCTAAATTTATTTAAGAGTTAGCAGTTGCCTTTTTTTAACTTCGAGATTTTCTTTAACATTTTACCATTTATACCTACCTGTACATGAAAGTGGAGTCCCTGGGTGGTGCAGACAGTTAAGTGATCTACTATTAGCTGTAAGATTGACAGTTTGAACCCACTCAGAGGCACTACAGAAGACGGCCTTGCAATCTGCTTCTGAAAGGTCATAGCCTTGGAAACCCTATGGAACGGTTCTGCTTTGCACATATGGGATCACCATGAGTCAGAATTGACTTGATGGCAACTCAAAACAACAACATATATGAAGGTGTTTGGTTTGGAGGAATCTGTAGCAGTTCCAAAAACTTAATATTAAGATTGGGTTCAGAAAGATACATATTTTTTTCCTGCATCCTTGTTGAACTCATTTCTGCACTCATTATCAGAATAATGAGAAGCTTACATTTTTTCATGCCTGATCTTGATCATAGGTGGTGGTTAACTCCTGGATCCTTCAGTTTATGGAATTAAATAAGGGTTATTTTGAGTTGGGTAAATTGTTTTTATTTTGTGTTACATAGTGTAACTGCCATGTGATGGCCAAATGCTTAATCTAAAGGCAATGATGATTCCTATGGAAATAACTTAATGTTCTATCCCTCTTCTTCTAGGTAATTATTACAACATCAAAAATCTCCTGAATGAGGAAAGTGTTCTTCTTTTTACTCAGATAAAAAGATGAAAGTTTAAGCAAAGCTTAAACGTGTATATGTATATATAACAGTTTGTACAGTTGGAACATTTGTATTTGTAATCACTTGTGATGTTTTTAAAATAAAAAATTCAGTTTAGTGATTACTTGTATCAGATAAACATTTTCAACCTCTTATATGTGTCTTCTGATTTTTCCATAAATATTACAACAACAACATTGCATTGGGCAAATCTGCTGCAAAAGACTGCTTTAAAGTGTTAAAAAGCAAAGATGTAACTGATGATTAAGGTGCTCCTGACCCAAGCCATGGCCTGTAGTGATGCCTGTGTTTATGATCCTTTAGTGATAACATGCGAAGAATACCAAAATCACTGTTCCCACAGGGAAATCAAATACTAGTTTTCTTTCAGAGGAGATCTGATTCATATGCCCATTTATTTAGAAAAATCTTTTCTGAATATTACTTTTAAATCATTAATCATTAAATAATCCAACAATAGGGAACTGGTACAATAATAGGGAAATGGTACATTGGAATCACATCTATTTAAACTATTATGTATAAACTTTTTTTTTCCATCATGTTTCTGCACAACTTTAATGCTAGAGGTGGTAACTTTTGCCATTTCTTTCTGTGCTTGCTCCCTGCACCATTTTAATATTTAAAAAAAAATTAATAAATGTAGGCCGAACAGTTTAATTTTTATTTCTTTTGTGTGGATAAATGTAATTACAGTGACCTCTGAAGAAGTTGTTTCATGGTGAATAATCCTTAGGCCTACCCTCTTTTTAGAGCTATATTTAATGTTAAATACAGTGTATAAATATATATATATATAGAGTGTGTGTGTGTGTCTGTGTGTCTGTGTGTGTAGGGGGAACACTGGAGAGGAGAGGAGGAAAGGGGGAGGAGATGAAAAAGAAAGGGTGGAGGAGGGTAGATGGGAGAGGAAGAACAAAGATAAACTCTCAGGACCATGGATAGTAACATCTCAGGGGAGAAGCCCACCAAGCTTATGCATTTTGTAGTGAGCTATTTATATAAAAAGACCAACATAACCCATAGTGTAAAAATAGAATACTATAAAATATGAAACAAAAAGGCACAGCTTTTCTTTCCTACCCACTTAAAAAAAAATAATTGGTGTAGAATATTTGAAACTATAAAGATATGCTCTTACATAGAACTTTAAGCATTACCTGTACAGAAACATATTTCACTTTATCAAACTTAATTGTAATGTTCTTTTCACTGGTTTTGGATAGCAAGGTACATATTTTTGAACATTTCATAACGATGCAAATGAACAAATTAGTGTAATGTGGTTTTACAAGGACAAAATAGGATGATATTTAGGAAGCAAGTCTTGTAATTGAGCAATAACACATTATAAAATTAATCCACTAAACAAGTGAGTCCAAAGCCTAAGAATCAAGTAGGTATAGAAGCTAATTTTAAAGCATATTGAGCAATAGAAAAAGTCTTTTAAAATAGTATTCTGCCCATCACTGGTAAGCCCAATATAAGTAGGAAAAAAAAGATGAGTCTTCCTTCGATCACTTCTTAATTTTTTGCCATATATAGTTGAAAATTTTTTTGCCGCAACATTTTTGGGGGAGTGCCCTAACATAGGGATATAGTGGGAAAATCCCACCTTCATAGCTAACTGTGTGATAAGGGTCAGCATGAAGCCAATGCCCAAAGTGCAGAAATGGATTCAGTCTTCACTTTTCGCAATTTTCTGTCCTCATCACCAGCTGCTCACATGGTACACTCTCCAATCCTAACCACCCAAAGCTGGATCAGAGCTCATGAGTTAGATGGACATCATCTTTCAGGCCAGTGGCCCATGTAGCATTTTATGGACCCAGTCACTCAGCTTAGTGCTCACATGTTAGGAGGACACCTTCTTTCAGACTGCCAAATAGGTAGATGCCAACTCTTGCTAGTTCTCACTGCCCTATGGGTTTGTTAATTAGCTGGGATGACTCAGAATTCACAAAGCATACTATACTTATGGCTACAACTTTCTTACAACCAAAAACAAATGAGACACAGGTGGTGTCTGGGAGGGGTCACACTGGAGCTTCCCTGTCCCAAAGAGGGATGTGTCACCCTCTCCCATGCATGGTCACCAACTAGGAAGCTTCTCTGAACCTCGGTTCAGGGCTCTATCAGCCTCCCTATGTGGCCATGATAGATTACATCATACCTCCCCAGGCTTAGCATCAGGATTTCAGGTGGTCCCTTTTGGTCTGGTCAGTTCCCACTCATTAGTCTCAGATACAGTCTGGCTAGAAAGAACTGAGAACAAGGGCCAAATTGCTTTTTGCAAGGTGAGTCTACACCTCGTGGAGGGAGAGGGGCTTAGGAGGAATGAGGTGTTAAAAATTTTTTCCCAATGTTTTGCTTCTTTTTTCCCCCTTGCCATAAAAATGGAGGATTATTTCTCTTTACATTGTGACCAAATTTCTTGTTAATAATTAGTTCCTTAGGGGAAAATGTAATATTAGCATGATTTTTTTCATGTATTTCACTGTTTGATTATATTGTATAATGTGGAGTTTTCTGATTACAAAAATAAATTTCAGCTTAACATTTTCTTTATGGATTAGTAACATTGTTAGTTCTCTATATATCAAAGGTATTACTGCTACATTACAGGTAATGTTTTTGAGGTTTTTTTTTTTTTTTTTTTTGAGGGAAAACCTTAACATTTAGCTGGACACTTTGATTTCTGTAATATCTTTCAATCTTTTAATTTACCTAAACTGTAGACATATATTTAATCTGCATGCAGTTGTTTTGAGATTATATCAATATCTTAAAATCTTTTATTTTTAATATTTTTAAGTTACTCTTAGTTTTGTCAAAATACTGTGAACTATTTTATATTAGTAAATTTGAATACAAATGCTTAAAATATTTTCCAATAATTATAAATCCATTAATCAATGCCTATTAATTTTTTTCATCTTTACCTTTAAATTATCTTTACAGTGGATTTTGATTTAAACTGAATTTAATTTTTTACTAAATTTCAGAATTCTAAAACTAAGAAAAAAGATTATTTGCATCAGTGGTTTAGGGCATTTTAAGTCCTAAATATGCCTGTGCCGGGAATTATCTGAGCTCGGCTTTAATACCTGAGCCAAGTATTTGAGTATTGTTTAAAGATTATAGGGAGGCAGGAGTACATGGAGTTATTTTGCTCATCTTTTTATTATTTTTTTAAACCACCTCTCAAAGACTTCAACTCCACTTTCTGCCTCCCAAATTCTAATATCTATTGGAAGCAAATAAGAAAAAGGAAGATAATATTGAGTGTTCTAAAGATAGATTGTGCTTACCTAGAGATGTAAGAGTAAAGAAATGGAACACTACCCCCATGACCCACATTTTTCAAGCACTGACATACAAAAACTTGTAACGGTATGTTATCAAATTGACAAATAGTATTCAAGTACAAATAAAAGTTACTTTACCTCAGTGTTTGGCTTGCCAATGTGTGTATGTATGTATATAAGGAAAAGTCACAGTATATTTGTTGATGTGATAGGCCATGTTGAACTTTATAAAAATACATTGTGAGTTAATGGAAACTTTCCTCTTGGAAATTTTAAGAGAATATAAAAATTTTGTGCCACTCTTGAAAACACATTTACTGAGTGCTTATGATATGCTTAGTACTATATATAGAGGTATACAGAGATAAAATACAGCTTTAAAATAGGAGACAGACTGGCCATTTTTAGTATTTATATAGAAAAGTAGCATAGAAGGTAAACCATCAGACTGAGAAATCTTTTAATATGTAGGAAACACTCCTAATTCATGAACTGACAATCTGGTTTATGAAAACTCACGGTTTCTTCTTTCCTGTATCTGCTGAGGCTTTATCGCTGGTCTCACACTAATTGCTCCTGCTCAGAAACCATCTTTCTTGTTAAAAGGAGATTCTGTGAAAGATCATTAGAGAATAACTCAGACTTTCCTCTTAATGTTACCAGACAAACTAAAAATATGTGGAAAACTAAAGCGGTTTGGGGAGAAAATGGTTAAAAATCAGAAACAAATTGCTAGTCACGATTTCTGAAGTTATTCTAAGTAATCTCATATTAGCCCAAATGCCTTAGTCCTGTTTGTCAGATTATAATTGTATACTTTCAACTTTGCTTTTATTAAGAAAAAAATCAGTGGAAATGGATTTATTCTTTTCATATGAAGCTTGCTAATAATGTTGCTATTAGATTTCTCAATAACTAGCATAAGAAGTGTCTGAGTTTGGTAGATGAATAAGCTTTTTATAACTATAAGCTTTTTGTAACTGGTATAATTGCTTTCCTGATTGAAGGGTTATGTAAACTAGATGTTTTCCGTCTTTACCTAGACTGGCCAGAAGTTCAGTGCCAGATTTTGCTCAGTCATTTGCAGTGGCTTGATTTTTTAAAGTGAAGTATTTATTTAGTTGATATAATTTACTTATAGTCAAATGCACAGAGCTTAAGTACAGTTAAATTAGTTTTTGACAAGTACATGTTAGACTCAAGTATCCCGCAGAATTTTTGTCACCCAGGAAGTTTTTTTTACCCAAAGCTTGAGCAAATTTTCAAGAATAAATTCTTCTCAATCTGATAATTTGCCTTTGGTTGATTTCCAGTACCTTAAAATAGAAAGTTTTGACAATTTTGTCCAGTTTTATGCCTTTTTTTTTTTTTTTTTGAAATAGGGGAATTGTCAATCTCTTTGTGCTTCCATTACTGGAAATGATGTTTCATTTAACTGTTGAGGTTTTTTTCTTCCTTTAAAGAATTTCATTCTATAAGAGGTTAATTTACTACTAATGAGGTTTATCCTAAAAGCTTTAGGCTTGGTTTTAGTCTTTGTTAGGATAGTTTTATACTAGCCATTACTCTGGTGGTTCTCAACCAGGAGTGATTTTCCCCTCATGGGACATTTGGCGATGTCTGGAGATATTTTTAATGGCATGACTGTTGTGTGTGTAGGTGTTGCAAACAGTTGTCTATTAGATCAATTAAGAATAAGAAAAAATAATTTGACCTTCATTTATTCCTTCTCTGATGCTCTTTCTTTGTGTAGATCTGAGTCTAACCTGTATCATTTTTTTTTTTCTCTGAAAAACTTATTTTAACATTTCTTGTAAGGCAGTCCCTCAACCTTGTCTAGGAAAGTCTTTATTTCTCCTTCACTTTTGAAAAAAAATTCACTTGATACAGAATTCTAAGTGGGTTTTTTTTCTTGCATCACTTAATACTTCACTCTCTTTTTGCTGCATAGCTTCTGAAAAGAAGTGATTCTTATTCTTGCTCCTCTATAGGTAAGGTAGTTTTTATTTTTTCCTCTGGCTTCTTTCAAGATTTTCTTTTTGTCTTTGGTTTTCTGCAGATTGAATATGTATTTATCCTGCTTGATGTTCTCAGAGCTTCTTAGATCTGTGGATTGGTGTCTGTCAATAATTTTGGAAAATTCTCAGCCGTTATTACTTATAATATTTCTTCTTTTTTAAGAAAAATAATATTTTATTGTGTTTTCAGTGAAGGTTTACATAGCAATTTAGGTTCCCATTCAACAATTTCTACATATATTGTTCAGTGACATTGGTTACATTCTTCACAATGCATGAACATTCTCATTATTTCTATTCTGTTTGTTCTGTTTCCATTAAGCTAGTTTCCCTGACCCCTTACCTTCTCATCTTTGTTTTAAAGTAATTGTTGACCATTTGATCTCATATACGTGATTTTTTAAAGGAGTACCTGAGCCTCCAGTAAAAACAAAAACAGGCAAAAAAAAATTAGGCACTCATATACTAATGAGTGATATTCTTTATTTTGTGAATCAACTGTTGTTTAGCTAAAAAGATGACCT